GCGTGACCACACACGGGCCGAGCTTCACGAAAACCTGCGCCGTACCCTCCTGACCTCACACCAGTACCATCCACACTCCGCCCACACGTCTTTGCTCGAGAACGGCTTACACGTTGGAGACCAACCACGGTCCGTACTGCCACTGACAACCAGGGCCGGCCCACCCATCTCTCCGCTGAAGACCTGGCCCGCATTCTCGAGGTAATGGCCGGGGCGTGGGCGGATGGGACTCTGGAAGTCTATGGGACAGGCCTCCTCACCTGGCACGCCTTCTGCGACAAGAACGGAGTTAGTGAGGATCAGAGGGCCCCAGCCTCACCCCTCCTCATCGCCTCTCTCATAGCCACCCTCTCAGGTGCTTTCTCTGGTGGCACCATCGCCAACTACCATGGCACATCCTGCATGGGGTCCCATGGAAGATGGTCGACCCTGAACTGGAGGCACTGCTCAAGGCCGCAGAAAAAGCAACCCCACCCACGTCAAAGAGGAAGAAACGCCAGCCATACACAAAAGATTTCATGGTTGCTATTCGCGGTCAGCTAGACCTCTCAACGCCCCTCCATGCTGCCGTTTATGCCTGCTTGACAACCACATTCTGGTCAGCTGCCCGAGTTGGTGAGTTCACGGTCAAAGAACCTGCAACCCTGCAATGTCACGTTACAACCACAACAAGACCAGAACGGCTTCGAAACAACCGAGTTCTTCATCCCCTCCACAAAGTCTGAACCCACCAACGGAGAGACAGTCTCATGGTCGAGACAGAACGGAGACACAGACCCGGAGACTGCATTCCACAATCACATAGATGTCAACTCACCGCCAAATGGTGGCCACCTCTTTGCGTACAAAGTAGGCTCAGGATACAAGCCACTGACAAAGCACAAGTTCATTCAAATTCTCACCACCGCAGCACGAGCAGCTGGCCTAGAGCCACTTCAAGGCCATGGGATCAGGATTGGGTCAACACTCGAGTACCTCCTGAGGGGGATTCCATTCGATGTGATGAAAGCAAAGGGAAGGTGGGCAAGTGACGCCTTCCTCGTCTACCTCAGGAAGCATGCCCAAATCCTCGCACCATACATGCAAGCAGACCCAGTCCGCCAGGAAGAATTTATCAGGCTAACCATGCCTCCACTACGCCGCCACTAATCAGGTAAGCAACCCCTGTCATGCTCCTAGCAGAGTGGGCTCGAGACTCGCTCGATGCGTCGCAGGACTCCTAACAATTGGGAATCGCGCTCATCTTGGCTTCTTTCACAGACCAGGAGCTCCTGCCGGGCACGAAAGCCTTCGGGCTTTCCGCCCATATATTACATCCAGCACACTGCCATTCCATACACCTATCCCTCTTACCCTAGTCTACCATCGTTAATCTAATGCTGTCACTCGCCAGACCTGCCTCAGCGCCATTCATAGATCCGTTTCCGGCAGCAAGGATCGTGCGACGTGTTTAGGGGAGGTCGGCATGACTTGTGCAACAACTATCGCCACAGCATCATCGCACCCACGAACACAGCGAGGGTCTCCCATGACTCAAAAGGATGTGCCAATCAGCGCACTACTCCTGTGTACGCACGTAACGCTACTTGCGGTCTGGCGGCGTACGTCATTTCTGCGAACCCTCAGAACGCGCCTCCGTTCTACATATAATCTTTGGATCCATCGCCTTACATCTGACGTAGGTCCAAACGACTCACGAGGTTCCAAATCGAATGAAGTTACCTGCGATTGTTTCGCGAAACATTCTTCTCTCTCCCCCATCCGGAATGATGCATGCCACCCAACACCAGGTCGAATCCTGCTTGGCACGTCCTGTAGATATTCTGGTCTTCGACGATGTTCTTCCTCGTGTCCACGATCATCCGATGGCAAAGTTGTCCCGCGGAAACTGATACATAAGACCACCACAGGACTTAGCTTTGAATCTCTCCAGCCTCACGATGTCCCACCTGACTTCCACCTGGTTCATGCTCGCCTTTGCTTTCATTCTTCCAACTTATGTCTCTGCTTCCACTCTCTTGGCAAATCGTCAATCCACGCTCATAGGAACCACCATCTCTTTGGACTGTACGAGCCCGGGATCTATGCCTCGTACATTGATTTTGAGCGATCTATAGATGGCACCTTCGTTGGGTTTCGCAACGACACCAACGGCATCACTTATTTCCAAGGCATCCGGTATGCAGACCCGCCAATCGGGGAATTGAGATGGCGAGCGCCTGTATCGCCTCCTACTTCCCCCCTTGGAACAGTGAATGCAACTGAGGTGCGTACTACGGTGTTACAACGCCTCGCAGGATTCGCGGATGATCCGATCTGAGCAATACGACGCAGTTCGCCGTGGCGTGTATTCGAACTGTACAAGTAACCGTCGCAGCGGGGACCTCCGAGGACTGTCTTTTCGGAAATGTAAGTGTGAAGTCCCAAATGCGGTCTTAAAGCATGTTATTGAATGAATCCCTTAGGTATATGTTCCGCCAAACACATCAACAGACGATAGGCTACCAGTCCTGGTCTGGTTTCATGGTCTGCCCTTTTTCATTCTCTTTGAGAAAGTGGGAGTCTAAGAACTGAAATGGCAGGTGGTGGATACCAGACAGGGAATACACGTACCGCGCCCCCGAATTTCATCATGAATTCATCTGCAAAACCCTTTGTCTTCGCCTCATTCGAGTATCGGCTTGGGCAGTTCGGCTTTTTGGGTGAGTCTTAATAACGAGACACTCGAAGACTCAAGTTCTGACCACAACCATCTTTTCTTCCGCTGAAAGGCGGCTCGCAAATCAAGGAAGATGGCGATCTCAACGCTGGATTCTTGGACCAGGTACACATCGCCATAGCTTTCTCTCCGGAGCCAGTGACTAACGCCCTTTACGAAGCTCGCAGCTCTCCGCTGGGTCCAAAGGTATATCCACAACTTCGGCGGCGATAGCAAGTACGAACCCCTTCCTAACATGGCCTGCTCCAGCTCATCATTAAACTTCCAGGCAAGTGACGATATGGGGTCAGTCAGCTGGCGCAGGCTCAACAATGTTCCACGTTAGTTGGAACAGCTCTTCTTCTATTAAGGAACTCTGACATGAGGTACCCGAATAGCTCCTCGCTAATAATGGAAACAACGAGGGCCTCTTCCGAGCCGCAATCGGGGACAGCCCTCCCCTTACGTTCGTGCCAGCGTACAACGAGACATATGTCGAAGGTGTCTTCACCCAGTTCGCCTCCTTCACGTAAGTTAGGACCGTCCCTTCCCACCTCTTCTGTCTCTTTTTCCCATCAATCCAATCCCAGAGACTGCGCCAACCAAGGCCCCTCAACCCTCCAATGCCTGCGCTCCACAAACATAACCTCCAACATGCTCGCCCGCGCCGGGAATGGCACCATCACTGCACGTCCCTCGACGCTCTACGTCTTCGCCCCCATCCTCGACTACACCACCATCCCCATTCGGCCTGTTGAGGGGTTCTCCTCGTCTCCTTCCCCCGCTAATCACAACACAACTAAATTTTCGCGTGTTCCCGTTTTGTTCGGCTCGAACACGAACGACGGCGCGAATTGGTCGAGCACGAGGATTCGTGACCCGGCTGCGAACACCTCTGCACCTGGCGCGGACGAGCAGACGCTCTTTCGGTTCTTGCAAGGACAGTACGCGAGCTTGAGGGAGGAGACGGTCCAAGAGGCTATCGCGGTCGACGGGAATTTGTATCCACTCGGAAACTATGATTCGCTTACTTCGCAGGCGCAGCAGATGTACGGAGAGATGAGGTTCATATGCACCGCTGGGATGATCGTTGGTGCTATGCGGGAGGCCGGGATCGTCGACGCATATCAATACCAGTAAGTCTCGTAATCTCTCTTAAATTCTTTGAGCTGTCACTCATCAGTGCAACTCAAATAGTTACGACAACCCAAACCTCGGCTCCGACCACCACGATGAACTAACCGCCTCCTTCAAACGCGAGCCCAGACGACCTGGCGCTGTTCGAAGCCATGCGTGAGTACTGGACGTCGTTCGTCACGGACGGCAAGCCGACATCACGAAGTGGGGTGGAATGGACGCCTGCACAGGACAGCGCTGGGAGTCCGCGGATCTTGCTTCGGCCTGGATCGATAGGAATGGAAGAGGTGGAGGATGATTTGCGGGAACGGTGTGCGTTTTGGCGTAGGGTCAGTGGCGAGATGCAGACCTAGCACCTTTGGAGCATGTACTAAACCCGCGGAAGATTTGCTTTCTTTGTCTCCACAGTACAATAGTCTTCAATTTTTTTGGAGCTTGGAGTCCAAGTCGTCATCATGTACAAACCACTGCCCAACGTAACTCATTATACTGCTGAATGCAAGGAGATGCTTCTGTTTACAGCTACCTTCACTTCTTGCGCCGAGGCTTCCAAATCGGGAATGTCGACAACCACATTCGGACGATCGCTGTCTGCTTTGTAGGTCATCCTGACGGACGTTCTTCCACAGGTACATGTAGTGTCTATCGAGAAAAATAGAAGGAGAAGAATGATAGAAGCCCGAAATTTGGATTTCTGTAGGTGCTTCATATCAACTCGTGGCTGCTCGGGGGAATGAACAACCGACGCCAGACTCGTGTACAGCAAAAATGACTCTTTGTGGAGCTGGTCGATATTTGTGGACTGGATTATTAACGTTTTAACTCTGATTACATCCCAAAATTTATAACCTAGGCTGCGTAGGTAGTAGTGCAAGTGATCAACGTTCAACCACGAAAGAACAGGTTGCCTCCTTAACCCATTATTTGAGGCTGAAGGTCCCCATGGATGAAGGTAAAACCATTGTAGCAGGAATCGAACAATTATTGGCGCTCTCCAACGGTTTATTTCCTATAACTACCTCCCAAACAAGCGCTCGTCTGGCACCTGTGTATCCTTATAATCCGCGGCTGATTCTCGGCGAGAAAGATGTTCCGAGATGGTTTCATGCCCCCACTGCCCACTGCCCAGACGGATTTGATTTGTAAAAGCAGGGTACTTGAGACTTTAATTTATGATCTCTTGGGCACACCAAAAAGATGCCTCCGAGAGTGTATTGACCAACCTTATCACTGCCTCCAATAACAGCATGGTGGATGGCTTACGTGTTGGAGTATTCTCCCCAGAACATCGAGAGCGTGAACAGATGAGCGGTGGACGCCACGAGATCTGTTGTGGCTGGGCCCCGAGAGTCTGGCAAGAGGGTGTATTTAATGCCTGTTAAAGGAATACCTAAGCCAAGTAAGTCAGGAACACTGGAATAGTTCCTAATAGGATATTCAGGGTCGCAAACGCGCCACACTCTAAGTAAATAAAAATCCCGGTTGATCTAGGACAGTCCACGAGCAAGGTGCGCCATCCCCCAAAGTCCTGCGCTGAATCGCGTTGGAGGTACAAATTCTGTGGCGTTTCGAAGACTCGTTCTCGACGATCTCTGGTCCTATGACACTGGCTCGTCATAACAGAGTGTTCCGAGGTCACAAATTTCATTGAATCAATCCCCTACGTATGACCCCCTCACCGTTGGAATCTGAATTCACCTGGGGAGTTCACATTGGAGGAGAAACGTCTGAAGAAAGGTTTGCGACGCGCTGTTTCCAGATCCTCGACTTGGCCAGGCATGCCCTGCCTGCTGGACGTTGGGTTGCGCCTTACCGATTAGTGCAGCAAAAATACCCATAGTCTAGTACACGTAGAAAATAAATTTCCTTTGCGACTATCCCTCTGGCAATGGGTGGAAAATAATATTCTCCAAGCGCGTGATGTAAGCTGCGTTTACGGGAGTGTCCGGGGGGCGTGGGCGATTTTGCGTGGGATCAGGGTGGGGCAACATCAACGTCTTCCGACAACGACCAACACCTCCTCCAAGTCGTCGCTCCCGTCGTCCCCGCCGTCGACAATGTCCCCCTCTCGCGCCCAGCAGCCGAGTCCGTGGCCAACACCGACGCCGGCCCCAGAACAGCCCCTCTCCTTCGACGACATCCCCTTCCCAAAACGACGACGAACCCACCACCCCCGCCAAGTCATCGCAGACCAGGCCGCCGTCCAGCAAGCCCAGGTCGACTGCCAGTACCTGTCGGGAAACAACATCTTCTCCTGCTTCCCAACAGCAAGCACAGTCATTCCCCAGCATGAGTGGGCCTCGTTCGTCTGTACGTGATTTTTGGCTATCGTGGTATCTGCAGGCAGTCCTAACAGCATCCAGGGAATTCGCGGCGACCGGAGCTCACCCAAACGAACCTCGTCGACGTCTTCCTGTTCCGTGCTGACTCCCAGCAGCAGCTGCTCCATTTCCGCGAGCTGCCCAACCCATCAGACCAGGCGGGAGTCCTTCGCACGCAGGTCAACGACACCTGGTTTGGTTCCTCGGGGCAAAATTGGGACGGTCGAAACGTCTCCTACCCCTTCTACTGGGTCATCATTCGCAGCGACAAGACGCTGGACGGAAACCAGGTCCCCCAGCCCTTTTTTTCCGCCGTGCAGACGACAGTGCTAGACTCAGTCGCCTCGTCATCCGCGGCCGCTGCGTCCTCTTCTTCCGCCCTCATCGCCTCCCTCTCCTCTCTTTCCGCTCAATCAACCTTGACGGCGTCACCAGTAAGCTCGGCAACAGCGAGCCCAAGCGGGAACGTGCAATCAGCATCGTCGGAATCCTCCTTCCCCCGCTGGGCGATAGCGGTCATTGTCGTACTCGGCTTTCTCGCCATCGTCGCGACGTGCATCCTCACTTTCTTCATCATCCGCCGCATTCGTCGGCGCCGGCAGCGCGACTCGAGCAGCCGGAACTCGATGGGCTCGGCATCACCCATGATCAATCGTGATGGCGAGATGGTGCAGAGGTACGACGAGCCGGCGTCCCCGCTGCTGCCCCCGCCCAGTATCGCCGCGGCCGCGGGTGCAGGTGCGGCGGCTGGTGCAGCGCACAGCAGCCCTGCGGGTGCCACGAGCACGACCCATGATGGTGCCTCGACTATCAGCGATAGCGGCGGACCCTTTAGCGGCGCAGACGCGGCCATTATGGCGGATGCTTTCAGGAAAATGTTGCGGAAACCCGACTTTGCTGGACGGCCTGTTGAAGAGGGAGAAAGCCCGGACCAAGCAGAGGGCGGGAACCCGGGGGTTGAGAATCCAGGGAGTGCGGTGCTAAGTCGGGAGCTTGCTGAGGAAGGTCGGGATATCCGAAGCGTCAGCTCGTCAAGAGGCGTCAAGGTCGAGTCGGTGCATCATTCAGAGGCTGGCGATCCTAGATGATTGAAGGCATTTCATTCTTTTCCTTGTGTCTTCTTGCTTTCCTTCGCTTGCTGTTGTGTTGTTTCTTCTAGGATCTCGTCGTTGCATTTGCATTCTCTTGCCACCCTCCTCCTCCTACCGCGTCCAATATACCTCCTCTTCGCACTTAATCCATGTCTCCGTTCGTTGCATTTTCACCAGACACGGTAGCCCTCTCCACTTGACGTCATCCGCATTCACCCTCAGATATCCCATTAACCATTGTATTCCTCGCACTTGTATTTCTTCCAGCAACACCCTTCTTATTGTCTTCATAATACCCTCACGTCCTCGCACCCTCTAATCTATCGCTGCCCTCTTTTGACTTCCTCTTCCCACCGCACACTCGTCCTCCTCGAAACCCTTGTTCCTGATCCAGCCGCTGCACCCCCGACCACTTACCCACCCGCTAAACCCTCTACTACCTGGTCTACTCCCTCTCCCTCTATCGAACACTTGATAACCCCTTGACATTTATACCTTATTTTTTTCTTTTGGCCCTCCACGTTTATATCCGTTATTTTTTGACGATGAATACGGACACTTCTCGTTTCGCCTTTTCCTTTCACCTCGTTTAAAAGCTTCTGGTTGATATCATTGGATTCTTTTTTGGCACCTTGGCACGCTTCGACGACTATTCCGACCCACTGTCCTTACGATGCCCAGGTCTACCCTTCCAATCCCAGCGTTTTCTTGTTCTTTCTCCACGAACCTTCCCATCCCCTGCCTACCCTCGATGGCCAACCATACGTTCCTTAGGTTATCCGGCCTGGATGTACTACAAGCCAGAGTGGCCCAGCGAAGACTTGAAACTAGGCCGCTTTGAGAAGGAAGGTCACGGACTCCGACGAGTACGGTCTGCGGCGAAGGTTACACTCGAAACTCGGATGATAAAGGAGGAGAAGGGGAAGGGGGAAAGGTAAACGGATGGCAGGAAGGATAGGATGAGGTTGAGCTACGTTTGCGCGCACAGGCTTCGAGTTTGGACAATGGGGCTCGAGAACGGGCAGGGCTTGCTCGCCCTACAGCCAGGTGTGTACCTAATCCCATATGCGCCACCACTCACGCAGTCGATTGACGTTGGACACTTTTCATTTTGGTTCCTCTAAAGGCACGGTTTCTGTTCCGGCCACGGGTTTTTGTGTCCGCTGCGCCTTCATTTTGGACCAGGGACATGCGCCGCTTGTCTCTCGCGATCGTAGCGGGCTGTCGTCACCGTCCATTTTGCTCGCTTTTACTCTAGCCTATTCCCGTCTTCGCCTCTGCTCCCAGCCCCGCCATCCCCTCGCTCGCCTCACCGGATTACAAGAGCCAACTGTGTGTTCGTCGTCTTTACCCATGCGCTTACTGGACCCGGCCGATTTCTGTCAATATCACGCGTTCTCCGGCGTCTGGACTCCGTCACCTTTTCTTGTGCCGCCGACAACTCGCCCACACCTCCGTTCATTTCGTTCGCTCCATCCGTTCAACCATCGTGCTTCGCCTCCGTTTATCTATCTTTCCGGCCGTCCTCATTGCAGACGGTATGCTCGTGCGAGACTCTAGGACCCCAGGCACCCCTCCGGCTGGATATGGGTATCCATCTCAAGTATAGCGTATGCACGTCATCTCCGCCCACCAACTATTCTTGCGAGTCTTTCACGGAGTCACTACAGCTTCGTGGATGATTGGACCGTCGGAGGGGACCCTCTTCCTGTGCGCCGATTTGGATTCGAGGAGTCTCGTTTCGATATAACGTCAGCGGCACGGCAGGGCTCTTCGCGGGTGGGTTCTCGGAAAGGAAGAATAGAAGTTACGTCAAGGGAGCTGCATGGTGAGAAACAGCGTTAATATCCCGCTGGACTGTCCCCCTCGATTGTACCCGTCCTGGGCGTGTGCATTTGCGTGTACGTGCCCGGTGCTGGGTGATGGAATCACAGGTGGGGGGAGGGTGCGTTACGTGTCCGCCCTGGTCTGGGTCTGCACCGGTGCCAGCTGAGAGGGGTCAAGCCTAGTGGGTGATTGGATAACCGGTGATGAGGGAATGCGCGGTTGGTCAGCTGCGGTGCGGATGCGGGTGTAGGGAGGGTGATGCGCTGGGTCATGGGCTAGAAGGATGGCGGAAGCACGGGCGTTTGGTCGGGCGACGCGGGTCGGGGTAAGTAGATGGGGGATTTGCGGAATACCCTGAGTCGCGGAAGGAAGCTAGGAAGGGCGAGGGAGGACGAAGAAGCTTCTATCTTCCATCGACTCGATTCGCACCCAGACACGCGCAAGACCCAGTGGCCGAATCTTGGAACCCGCCACCCTATTTTTTGGCCCTTACGATCCACAACCACCTGTTCATCCATCCATCGCCACTCAGCCATCGAAATCCACAACGGCTACCGATATAAATCAGGAATTCCAACTCGAGCTTTCCGTCCTATTCTTGTCTGCGCTAGATGTTTATGACCAAAGCTCGCTCACACGCTCCTTACTCCCTTTCCTTTCCTCTCGACGCGCATTTTTCACAGTATTCGTTATCGCCTCGTCTGTTCATGTGTTTGGTCTTTTGAGTTATGTTTATATCTTTTTCACCTTGTGTCCGCTCTGCTCTTATCCTTGGCTCTTACTCAGTTACCCCTCCATCTCACGCCTCACACCTTATCCACTCCGTCCTTTATTTTTGACCAAATGAAATGTGTGTTATATGGTTCCAAAACAAATAGCTTAGGCCTTCCTTACCCCGCAATGGGACTTCTTGACTCGAGGCCCACTTACACTCTCGTTTATCGTTCTGGCCTCCCTTCCCATCGCTAACTTATACCTCCTTCCTCTGTTTCTTCTTGCCTTATCCCGAGCTTGTGTTCATGGTTTCGTAGCACGTCCTACAAACACATACCCACATCGATTCTAATAGAATCTGATCCACCTGCATCTTCTGCAGGTAACATGCTCCGAACAGTATTGATTGGCTAGCCGAACTGCGAGGCAGAAACTTTCAAATTTAGAGGCAGTTGCTGCGCACAGCTCGGCGCTAAAACCATTCGACGGCCGATAAATGCTGCACGTTCCCGCGCAAGGAGGCTTACACCCAGTAACGTCGAAACAGGCGAAGTCCCAACCGGGCGAGCCGTGAGCCCCACAGAATTCCCGTCTCGCAGCACCTAGGCGTACAACGAGCTCGTGTTGCATAAGAATGGCACGACCGAACGGCGGTGGAGGGATATTTCTATAAATAGAAGAACACGCCACAATCGAACTGAGTTGGGTCAGCTGGACCCTGTTGCGTCGTGAGCACTTGGAGCTCAAAGACGGAGCAAGTCAGGAGTGCGTGGCCAAGTTCATCGAAGAATGAAGAAATAAAGCAGTATCCACCCTCAGGGAGTTCGGGGGTCGTGCTTTATGTACGCCCGCGCCCAACACGCGAGGGTTAGACGTTCCTGATGATCATTAAGCTCACGTTCACGATATATAATCGATGCTGTAATTCTATATGTCCTCACCGACACATGGAGCTTGAGACTCTTGATAGTAAGTGAACTAAGTAGGAGGGTTGAGAACGGTGTTATGGGTGCTATGGCAGCGAGCGTGCCGGTCATTCCAATCTGTCATGAAATTCTACACAAGCTGACATATGATCAGCGCTCAAGCTTCTCTCGGCGTAGAAATATTGTGAGCGCGATAGAAAAATAGAGTCCCGGGTATGATTATGACTTTCAAATTCTGGCAACCAATTGCGTTGTTCCACTAAGCAGGCACCTCGGGCTCTAGTTCAGGCTTTGCCGAGCCCCGAGCGTTACCAGTTTTAATTCTTACTCACACTTTCTTCACAATGTATTACGTCGAGGCGATCATAAAGAGCCCGACTTTGGCTACACCCTTTCTTTAAGGATCTCGGTTGGAAAGCAACGCTCGGAGGGTGGGTGGCTCCATTAATTCCTCCCTGTCCGAATCCGACCAACGTCGGGGATGATTCCTATTCCTATTCCTTGTTTACGGGCGAGGAGAGCTACGTGACTTATTTTATTCTTTCTCATTTAATCACTGTAGACGCGCTTCACGTCTCTTGTTCTTGACTCTCTTGACTCAGACTGTGCAGTATAAACACGGGCCGCTACTCCGTAACCTTAGGACTGGCCAATGGGGTCACTAGAAAAGTTTCTGGGGTCTTCCGTGCTTATCTTCTTGCATGCTGCAGAGGTCTCTATTTCTGCGGACCTGATACTGTGGACTATCTCCGTCTGACAACTCAGCGACTCCAATGAGCAAAAATATCGGACTACATGATGAGGCCAAGTGTCGCCACCACCGACAATCTTTCCTGCCAACAACCAATTGCAATTGTGCAAGATATTTTGTGTCTTCCTCGAGCACAAACTCCGAAGATCTACTTCCAACCATGCGGTATCCGTCTATACTTGAACCCTAAACCAACTCTTATCGCTGCTCCGTTTCCTATTTCGTCATTCAGGCTTCGTCTTTTGTCTTTATGGGCCTCTTACCTCCAGGACCTCCGCGGACCGACAATAATCCAGTTCTATCCAAGTAGTTGACAACTCGCTGCCTGTCCTTCGATTGAGGCTTTGGAAATTATCCTATCTATCGGGCACGCCTTCTCTTTGCTTACTGTGCAGTCCTCTTATTTCCGAATTAATCCCCCCCAAGTAATTCTGCTATCTCTCAGACCTTCTGTTTTCTCCATCTTTGACAATATTGCGCACTAGAACTATCTCTATGACACGCACAGTCCTGCATTATTGACTTCTGGTCTAAAGAACATCGGAAGAAACTCGTCAAGACTTCTCTTCATGGCTCCTCGACGCTTCATTCCTCCAAATGACCAGAGGCATGCGGTGACATACTTAAGCTGCTCACCTGCTCCGCTTCGCATCCCAAATCGCGAATTTCGAGCCTCGACTACTCCCACCTCCCCAACCCTGAGCAAAACACCTGATGAAGCTATCTGCGATCTCGTCTATCGGGCTTAACACACTCAAAGTAGGGCTTGCTACCCTTCTCTACGCCCAACTAGGCGCTTCCCTTGCTCTCTCGTCTGAACCAGACGCCTCGCTCCTTGCGGGACCACTCATCGGTTCCACGGTCACCCTGGATTGTACGTCTTAAGCGCCCGTGCTTCCCCACGTCCGACTCAAAGACTCCGCTCACACGTTACGTGTTCTCCAGATGGCACTTTCACAGGCCTTCGTAACACCACAAGCGGTATCACCTATTTTCGCGGAATTCGCTATGCGGAGCCACCCATCGGCGAACTACGCTGGCGGGCCCCTGTCTCCCCGCCCATTCGGCGCCTCGGTCGCGTGGACGCCACAAAGGTTTGCATATCCTTATCGAGTCATTCAGACATCATCAGCTTTTCTTTCCCAGTTCGGTAACAACTGCATTGCGACAGCACAAAGCACCGAAGTAGCCGGGTTTTCTGAGGACTGTCTCGTCGGAAATGTACGTCGTAGTGTCCGACCCCATCAACTGCTTTAAAAACGTATTGTTAGGTGTACATCCCGACGAACACGCGCAAAAATGACAAACTTCCTGTTCTGGTTTATTTCCACGGTACGTTTCTGCTTTTCCTACCAGCTTTCCTCGCTGACTATTCCATAGGCGGCGGCTTCCAAGGCGGGACCACCCAAACTGCCCCTCCAGACCAGCTACTTCAAACCTCCGCGAAACCCCTTATCTTTGTCTCCTTCGAGTACCGACTCGGTCCATTGGGGTTCCTGGGAGGGTCGGAAGTCAAAAAGCATGGCGTATTAAATGCTGGCATGCTGGATCAGGTGAGCTCAACTACTCAGAATATGAGGAATCTGAGAACGAGAATATTCAAATCCTCCTCTACAGAGAGCTGCATTGCGCTGGGTTCAAAGATATATCGGTAATTTTGGCGGAGACAGAAGGTATATCATGAATTCAATATCTAGCACCATTATTTATTTTTGGATAGGAAGGTCATGATCTGGGGTCAATCTGCAGGAGCTGGGTCGACCATGTTCCATGTAAGTTTTCAGAACCATGAAGATCACAACCCCAGAATTCCGACGCCGGTGCTTTACAGCTTATCGCGAACGGTGGCAATCACGAGGGACTGTTCCGCGCCGCAATGGGCGATAGTCCTTCGTTGAGCTACCTTCCCGCCTACAACGATGCTTACGTTGAAGGCATTTACAAAAAATTCGTCGGTTTCACGTATGTGTTCGTACACGTCACCTAGTGCAATTATTACTGATATCGACATACAGGGCGTGTGCCAACAAATCCACAAGCGCCGAAACCTTCCGTTGCCTGCGCGCCGCCCCCGTTTCAGATATCATACAAGCAGGACCAAAACTACTTGCTTCATACCCCTCCACACTCTTCGTCTTCGCCCCCACCCTCGACGGGACCTTCCTTTCCTCCCGGGCCGTCGGAGCCTTTTCCTCCACCTCTCTCGGCCCCGCTAAATTCGCACAAGTCCCCCTCCTCTTCGGCTCCAATGCGGACGAGGGAACGAAGTGGTCGTCCACGCTCCCTGACCCACTCTCCAACACGTCTATGCCCTCCTCCGACCAAGAAACTGTCGTCCGTTTCCTCCAGGGCCAGTACGCGTCTCTTCCTCGGGAACCCGTGGATGAAGCCATGGGGGGGCTCGGGCTGTATCCCTTTAGTAAATATGGCGATGTAGGCAAGCAAGCAGAAGGAATGTATGGCGAGGCACGTTATATTTGCACTGCTGGTCTGCTTACGGGCGGTGCAACCTCGAGGGGTATTGGAGATGTCTATCAATATTAGTATGTGTTCTTCTCAGAACCGTGGAACGGCGCTAACGTTATATTCGCTTGGTTAACAGTTATTACAATCCCCATCTTGGATCAGACCATGGCTCAGAGCTTGCCGCATTCTTCTCCACACCGAACAGCGCCGACGCGAACGACCTGGAGCTGTTTAAGACGATGCGCGAATACTGGACCTCGTTCGTCACAGATGGCCGGCCGAAGTCAAAAAGCGGACTGGCTTGGAAGGTACGAGTAGTCCGCCGCTTCTTGTACCACCATTGAAACTCACTTGGTGATTTACTAGTCCTCGAACGACAGAACCGGAAGCCCTCGTCTCCTGCTGCATCCCGCGGGAACCACGATGGAGACGATCGACGAAGATTTGAGCGCTAGGTGCAGTTATTGGAGAGGAATGGCCGATGATATGTCAACCTGATCTCCAAGATGGAAGATTACGGACATAGTTCTCTGCACCATCCCTCTGTTATCGTAGTTCCCAGTTCCGATGAATTCAGTTTTTTTGGCGCCCGAATTATCTAATCTAATCTTGATTTGTGATGGGGATTCGCGCTGTCAAATTTTAATGCCACGTTGAAATCCGACTTGTCTCTCAACGACGACCATACCCAATGCAAAACGGACTTACCGGTTCTTTCTTGTCTCTTACTGTCAGTTTCTGTCTACATTCGGGTCTTGAGACCGTCTGCGTGACGTCGCTAGTGGCTTTCATCACTTCATCGGTCACCGGACCCAGCTAGCGAAAGTGCCTGACCACTCCACCATGCGCTTCTCTTCTTTTATTGGCAGGAAATTTCTGTTTATTATATTCAAGCTCGCAACTTGGCGCCCCTCTGTGCGAGAATGCGCATCATAGCGCATTATCGATAGGCCTCCAATCGCCGCTGTTCTTTGGGAGAAGGCTATTTCTCGAAGTGTCTGAACATTTCAGACATAGCTCTGCTGGTACATCATAGCATTCTATAAGATCCCACCAAAGCTGGGGATTTTTTTTGGACGATCTAATTATGTCGCATGTTCTAGTCTCGAAACTTGCCTGCTTCTGCTCCCCTGGTTCACCATATGCGCGGTATCCATCCCCAGCCTTTCTGCTCACAGTTGGCGCCGAGAATAAAACCTCGGAGAAATTCCCTACCACACATCGCTCCCGGTTCCCCACTTTTGATTTCAAATCGCCCAGATATTAATAACTTGTCCCACCTAGATCGACATGCCTCACTTAAATAGCCGGTCCCCGTCGAGCTGGCCCCGCTACATTCTCAACCTTGAACCTTGAGCCTCGAACATCTCTCTAAAATCTGCATTCCGCGAGCTTCAGTCGTAACAATGTTGTTCTCAACCTCAGCGCCTCGCAAACGCAGCATCAACATCGGACTTGCCGCTACCTTGTTCTGCTCTCTATATCCTCAACGAGGTGCCTGCGTCGCTCCTCCCTCAGGCAATGTGCAGTCGCTAGTTGGCTCCACAGTTAACCTCGACTGTGAGTATTTCACTTGCCCCCTTTCTCGGGATTGACTCCGATTAATTCAAGATGGATCTTTCACTGGCCTTCAAAACACAGGCACGGGGATCACCTATTTCCGTGGTGTCCGTTATGCCGAAGCCCCAGCGGGGAATTTGCGATGGAGGGCACCTGTTTCGCCTCCAGATAGACATCTTGGAAGGGTGAATGCGACACAGGTAAGTTTCTTGCTCTCCGACTGTTTGTTATTCTTGTAATGCGTCTTGGTTTTACCATCAGTTCGGCGATGCCTGCATTGCGACAGCCCAGACCAGCGAAGTCAATGGGGCATCCGAAGACTGCCTCTTCGGAAACGTACGCCTTAGATCCATTGCTATCTCCACAGGTCCATCACAACTCGAAAAATCCAGATCTACATTCCGACTAACACTACAAAATCATCAAACTTCCCTGTTCTTGTTTACTTCCACGGTTCGCTGCGTCCCTTTAGTCTTACCTGGCCGTTTTTCCAATTTCCATGCAGGTGGCGGGTTTCAGGGAGGAAGTGCTCGCACTGTTCCACCGGAGTTGATACTGCAATCCTCTCAAAAACCTCTCATCTTCGTCACCTTCCAATATCGACTTGGCCAGTTCGGTTTCCTCGGAGGATCAGATGTCAAGGCCAATTGGGCGCTGAACGCGGGGTTCTTGGATCAGGTTAGTGCTTCTTAGCTCTCCATGTCGGCGAAGCTCGCTACTTACAGCACCATCATCACGACAGCGAGCGGCATTACGCTGGGTACAGAGATATATCCACAAGTTCGGCGGTGATCGAAAGTGAGTTTGTCTTCCTGTAGGGAAATCTCCTGTTCTCATCCTTTGCTTAGGAAAGTAACAATCTGGGGCCAGTCCGCTGGAGCAGGAGCAACGATGTTCCACGTGAGGCTTTTGCTTCATCTCCCCTATCCTTGATATCCGACCTAGTTGTTTCCAGCTAGTCGCCGACGGAGGGAACAACGAGGGTCTTTTCCGAGCTGTGATGGGAAATAGCCCTTCCCTCAGCTATATTCCCGCCTACAATTCCACCTATGTCGAGAACTTATACGACAAATTCGTCAGCCTGACGTATGTCTGATCGCTACTGAAGCCGAATGATTAGCTGATTGCATCACCTATTTAGCGCCTGTGCCGGTCAAACAGGCGCCGAAGCTTTCCGATGCTTACGCGGGGCTCCAGTTCTCGACCTCATCCGCGCAGGCAGCGGGGTCCTTACTGAATACCCAGCGACACTTTACGTCTTCGCACCAATCCTTGACGGGACCATGCTCTCCGCCCGGCCCGTCGACGCCTTCTATTCCAACTCCTCGTCTGCTCCACCGAAGTTCTCGCGCGTACCCGTCCTATTCGGTTCTAACATTGATGAAGGCGCCGTCTGGTCATCCCTCCTCCCCGACCCGCTCGCTAATACCTCCATGCCGGATGCCAACGAAGAGACCGTCGTTCGGTTCTTGCAGGGCCAGTGGGCGACTATGCCCCGAGTCATTTTCGATGATGCGATGAACTCAAGTGTGGGGATGTATCCGATTACCGACTATGGTGGTAGTGTGTCCTTGCAAGGGCAGCAGATGTACGGTGAGGCAAGGTATATATGTACTGCTGGGCTCATCACCGGCGGTGCGAACGTTGCTGGAGTGCAGGATTCATACCAGTACAGGTACGAGTCTCTTCTCATCCTGGCCAAATTGGGGGTGAATCAATTCCTTCGTTTCACCTAGTTATCACAATCCTCACCTTGGGTCTGGTCACTCGGCTGAAATCGTTGGATTTTTTGCACCCCCTGCCAACGCAGACGCCAAAGATCTTGCCCTATATCAAACGATCCGGGAGTACTGGACCTCCTTCGTAACTGACGGCCGTCCAACTGCAAGAAACAGTATCGCCTGGGAGGTGTGTTCAATTTCTCTCGACCCGCTGTTGCGTATATTGTTTATTCTCTTTTAATTTCTACCAGCCTTCTAATAGTGGTAATGGAAGCCCTCGCCTTCTACTTCATCCTGACGGCGTCGCGATGGAACAAATCGATGAGACGTTGAGCGGGCGATGCGACTATTGGCATCGAACTTGGCCGAGGATGCACGACTCAAATGCCTCTTGACATACCACTTCACAAGGATGTTGAATATAAAAGAGTGTCCAACATCGAACAGTGCGCAGACCGGCTGCACTTGGCACCATATTTATCCTACAACTGCATTCTCCGTCAAATTCAACTTGATTCCTTCAACATTCTCTCGCCCTTCTTGCCTTGCCCAAAGTGATGCACTTCGTATTCTTGAGGAATGCCCTCTGAATTGGACGCATCCATCTTCCCTTGCCCCGATTGTTTGGTGGTATGGGAGGGATCGGCTTCGTAGTGCTCGTGCCCAAGCCCGACGACGCAGTTCTCTGTAGTAGGTGTTTGGTATGCAAACCTTACACCGGGAGGATTGCCTATGAATGGTTTGGCACGAGTTGAGCAATAGCAGACGGTCTCCGTGCTAAAGCGCTAACCTTTTGGCTTGGGTTTATCCTGATTCTCGTTCACGCGGAATTCTGTTGACGACATGATTTTGAATGAGTCCGGGTTTGACTCAACGCATTTATACCACTAGGGAGGGGTTTGCGTCATGGGTATCTTATCCAGCGTGGGGCTTGAATGGAGACTACCCCAACGCCCTACACCAACCCATCATCAACCGCTCCAAAAAATAAAGCGCATGCACTGCGTCATATGCAATGTTTACCATGCGCGAGACCAAATGGAGGCCAGCAACGACAACGTTGAATACTAGATGATTGTATTTCTTGAAATTATGGAGGTACCAGACTTTGCTCAAAGCTTCAGAACGGCATCCCAACTTGTCGGTCCGCACCATCGACGCCGTCGTCGCCAACACACACGCTACTCCTCCGCAACCTCTTGAGCCTGCTTCCAGGCGCGCGCAGCTTGCAAGAATTTCAGAGAGGCTTGATGGGCGTCTCCATCATCGTCTGGGAAGATAAGACCGCGGTCTACCCCGACGGGCTTCATGCTTTCGACCTTGGCGACGCCTTCCGGATTGCCGTACTTCTCCTCGAACGTCTTCCACGCTTCTAAGAGGGCCGCACGCTACAAGAGGTTCATATCAAAATCGACAAAGGAAGTTATCGAAACTGAACATACCTCATCTTTGAGACCTCGTCGCCTTAAATCCCGATAAGCACGTTCAAATACCGCCCTCGCAAGGCCCGAGTCACCAGACATCATCTCCCGTTCCTTCGCATCTTGCTCCTCCTCCCAATCGTCACGTGTCGCAGGCATCGGCTCCACCTCAAACGTCGCATACGAAATCCAAGCATTGACATGTCCGCTCAGTGCGACGAGTCGCTCGTACAACGCACGCGCCACCTGCCGATCGCCCTGCTCTATCTCGAAGTCGATGAAGGCCTTCCATAGGAGCTCAGGCATGGAGAGGGACGGTTGGCATAGAGCTAGCTCGAAGATGGCACGCGTACGGGCGAAGTCGCCGAGCTGGGCTTCAAGCGTGGCATATTGAATCCAGGTTGAAGAGTTTGTAGGGTCGAACTAAACGATGATTGAGTACCGTTGGCAAGGGATGTGAGGAGGGAAGACGTACCTCGATATACTTTTCGTAGAGCTTCTGAACGCGGTCAAACTCACGCAACTAGGGGCAAGTCAGAACTTTAACTGGTGAACAGAGGGACCGAGGCCTACATACCTTGATCTCAAGGTTGACGTAGCCTTTCAACAATGCCCCCTTGGGACACATACCGATTGCGGTTCCCATAATCTTCCTCGCCGCATTCACGTCTAGCTGTCGAAGCTCGAACTTGGCGAACATCAGCCAGAGTTTCGCGAATGTAAAGTGCTTGTGGGGTACGACTTGAATCGCGGTTTGATAAACCTTTCGAGCCCGAGCATGGTCCTAGATATAGAGATGAATATCTTCGTTGCCGCGATGCATGGGCGAGTAGCTTGACGTACCTTCCGTTCAATCTCCTCGAACAAGGCGTAGTTGAGCCACAAGAAAATGTACCTCCTCCAATGACCCTTCTCGACTGTGAGTGGAATTTGTGCAACGGCACGTTCGTAAAGGTCGACAACACGGCCCGCAGCAGCATTCCGCGCCTCCGGGGTAACTCCCTCGTCTTTCAGCTGCCGCCAGGAGTCTTCCTCCACACGGATGTATTCAAGCCACGTATCGTAGCTATGAGAAGTCTTAGACAGATCTGCCTCATACTGTACCCGACGCCGGACGGCAGCCGTGTCCTCAATCGCCCGTTGTGTTCCGTGCTGCTTCTCGAACTTGGTATAGGCCGAGAGGAGCTCGGTAGACCTGGACTGAGGAATACGAGAGAGGGCGAACTGGAATCAATTATGAACACATGAGGATCTACGTCGATCGCTCGGGAATGATTGAAGGGGGCGCGTACCTTGTAAATGGTCCTCGCGCGTTCATATTCTTTCAATTTCGTCTCCATTTTTGCAAATGCTGCAAACACGGCTTGGGCCTTCTCCGCCCCCTCTCCGTCCTCGCCGAAGCGCTCCGACGCAGCCTGAAGGACCTCGCGCGCGCGGTCCACCCTTCCTCGCTCTTCCTCGAACTTGGCCCACTTAACCCAGACTTTTGGCTCAGACGTCAATCCAACCCAACGCGTAAATACCGCACTCGCCCTATCCAACTCCCCATACCTTTCCTCGAACTTGACGTACGCACTCCATGCGCCGTCCTCCGGCTGCCACTGCATCCATCGCTCGAATACCTGGCGAGTGCCAGGAATATCCTGAAGCAACTCGGATAAGTAGACGTGCTTGTACCAAAGTTGTGAAGCTCGCGGAAGGAGAGTGACACCTCTTAATAGAAGATTCAGTGCGTGGCTGACGTTGCGTGCTTTTAGTTCCAGGTCGACGTATGCGAGCCAAATCAGAATCGAGTGGGAGTTTTCGTCGAGTGCCCTTTCGAAAATTGACCTTGCGCGAGGCAATTCGCTTTGCGAGGCTTCCCATTTGGCATAGTTCACCCATTCCTTTCTGATGGTTCAGTAAAGCACTCACTGTCAAATTTTCATGGAAATGGACGTACATATTTGCCCTATTACGCATGACGCGTTGCTCGAAGTCTTGACGCTTCCGTGCACGATACTCATCGAGTTCCTCGAGGTCTTGAAGACGTTGACTTGGGGCTCGGAACGAAGTTTGCTGAGTGCCATGGGCCTTAAGAGGAGATGTTTCAGCCCGTGAGTCCTCCAGTCTCATAAGAGATCCATACCTCTCTGAGGAAGTGCTCTGCAGTGACCTGACGTTCCCGTAAGCTACTTGTTCGACTACGGTTCTTCTCGACATACCTGAACGGTGGCAGGGGCGCGGTTCTTGATTCTGGGGTCATAGTCAGGAACATTATCCAGAAATCGCTTCATGACCAATAACTTACCTAGGGGCAAGCCTATCGTCCATGTTGGAGGTTTTAGAGAAGGAAGCTGTTGTGAGTCAGCGAGGGCGGTTGTTTGTCGCGGTGGGCGACCTGGTCACGTGCGAAAGCCCCTAACCTGGATCTTCTCGCCTCGTTTCTCACCTCCAAGTACCTAGTCGCTCAAGCTCGTATCCGATTAGCGAGAATTCCACTGGCAAGCACTCGGCTTCTCTACTACTTATGTTTCACCCATGATCGTTCATGTCCTCAAAGCCTGTAATGCCCGAACACCGACCCGCCACCTGGCAGAAGCAAAGAGATCGACGAGCAGGGCGGGTCCTTTCCGCCGTGAAACCTCCTAATGTCCTTCCCGACGACCTCCGATGACCCTCTAGAACACACTACAAGAAGAGAGACTGGCATTCAGCACGAAGTGCAATGGAATCGCACAGTGTCTGAATTTCTGCAGCACGCTGTCGTAAGTCTTCGAAGAGCATACCTCTCTCAATTTCAGAGGCATCCTAGCCTGGACTCTCGCAGAAGCGCTAAAAATACATAGCTCGAGCGAATGCCGGACGTTTCGACGACACTACCTCGATCGATCGAGACTACGAAGACCAATCTCTTTACAGATGCCGTTGAAGGTGTGCTCAAGAGTCTCGTTCGTTATCGTTGAGGGTGCTCAGGCTTCGTAGGCCCTTCTGCGATTGGACGCAGGATGCAAGACTGGCGCTCTCGGCTGTAGATAAGGATTTGGTTTCTGGACATTGGATCTACCGTGCCTTACCGGGCGGTGTTTAACTTTTCGCTGAGGAACTTCAAGTAAGCCCTTTCCTAATCCTTTATCCTAGGTGTTCAGGACGATTTGACCGGATATTCGTCTAGACCACGCCACGAGGCTCTCAGAAATGGCATATACGGTATGCATGGTTCCCAGAGTTCTGGTACAGTTGACTTCGAGGACCAAGAAGGATCGGCGAAGGCGACGGACTAGAACGAGAGTATGCAGACCAAGACAGACCGGTGCAAATCGTCAGGAACACACTTTAGCATGAGACTCAACGGAGCCATCCATTAAGATATAACGGCAGCTCTTTCCACGTGCGTTTATGGCCAGAATCAACTTTCCAAATACGATCATCGAGATTCAAGCCCTCCGCTTCTTTTCTTCGCCTTCTGAAATTAGGGGCCGCATGCGCCTCCTATCGAAAAGCCATTCGTCTGGATAGAACGACTGATATATTCAAGCAGCCCATCAACCTTATTGTTAGCTCGCACCTGAAGCCTGAAGCCCCGTTGTTGAAGAAGATGTCACCTCGACTTTCCCTGGTTTGCCAATCGGCAGTCATTCTGAGTAAGCAAGCGCGGATCAAGAATAAATGGCAATTTCCAAGGTGCGCCACCTGGATCGGTGACCGAACAGGGAAGCAGATGATCCCCCCTGTTCCCTCATCCTAGTTTAGGCCTCGGGCTACCATCAATGTGCTTCGCCTGATGGCTGCATAGCTTCTTCTGAAATACCGTCTAGATAACACAAGAACGGATCACCCCCACCGATCTAGTCGCACTGCATCCGACGTCTCGCCGGGATATATACGACGCAAATCGTCTTCGCGACGATTTCTCTCCCACCCTCATCGTCGTTCAAGGGCCTCCCACCATGTCGTTCATCAGTCCTATCAGCTTGAAAGGACCTGCGGAGTTTGCGTGAGTCACCGTTATCTTCTCCGTTCTACAGCAGTCTAAGCGTCTTTCATTTCATGAAGCCACGGATGGATGCTCATCGGGTGCGCCGTCAACATCCTCCTCCTGGGCGTGTCGATTGCCCAGGTGTATATGTATTATGTAAAATATAAAGAGTGCGTACACCTCTCTTGCGATCGCGAGAAGTGCTGACTGATTCTCGATGTTTAGAGACCGAACATGGATTAAATTATTGGTCGGCACAGACGGTGTTCCACAGATTCACCCTATTCACGAGACCTTCAGGTTGCTGGAGTCTTATTCCTCAATATCATCAACACTGTACTTCTATTCACCTACATTTACCGCTCCCTGGTCACATTTTTCGGTGCGCCAATTTGCCATTTCCTCCCTGGTGGCGTTAGCAGCACTGACTCTACTATCTTCAAGGCGATAACGCAGCGCTTGGTATCGGTGACTGGAGTACGTTCCTTCCTATCTACGTATTCAACATGTACAGCCCCCTAACCCTCCATTTAATCCAGTTCTTGCCACAGGTATGGTTACCGTATGGCTGTCGCGTTCGTCTGATTCTCAAAGAGCCTTCCTTTCTTCGCAGGTGCTTGGACAACGGTAAGATAGTGTTCAGTCCTCCCACGTCTCGCTCCACCTGATCTTCTTCCTTAGGGAGTGATAGCTTGCTCGGTTCAATTATTCTTCGCCTGGCGCATCCTCGTCTTGACAAAGAACTGGGTTTTTGTTATCGTTATCGGATGCCTCGCTATTGCTGGTGGCTGTGAGTTATCCTCGTATCCTTGTCGACCTCGTCCCCACTGACACGGCCAATCTTCAGCTGCTGGTATTGCTACCGCTGCACAAACAGGAAAGGCTCTTCCTTTCTCAGAATTTCTCAACTTCAAGACCACCGTGATCATCTGGCTCGCTGCCGAAGTCGCGAGTGACGTCCTTATTACGACCGTCCTTGTGTGGTATCTGTAAGTGTTCGCCTTTGTGAACCCGGAATTCAGGCTTACGGTGTCATGTAGTGTAAGCCGTTGTGCACGAGAGGTCTCCTAGATCGATTCTAAAATGTCCGATTTCTACTAGCACAAGCATAAGACCGGTTTCAAGCGTTCGGATATGATGGTCGATCGCATCATCAGAGGTCCGTTCATTGCACCCCTTCGCTTCATTTAGCGTCATGCTTACCTCGGATTCAGTAACGCTCCAAACTGGTCTCTTGACCATGGTAATCGCCACCCTTGACATAATTTTCTTCCTCGTCGATGTCAGTCCCCAGCATCTATTTCGCCGTGCTCTCTCACACTCAACCACATGACCAGCCCTCTGGAACCCACTTTCTGTTCAACTTCCCACTAGCAAAACTCTACACCAATTCCCTCATGAGCAGCCTTAACTCGCGCCGTGGATGGAGGTTCAATGGCACGAGTTCTGGAAGCGCTTCTGAGAGCCAAGGGAATACCACGAGTGGTGGTGTTCAACGGCACCGTCACATTTCGGCCGTCAAAAAGCCGGTCAGTAATCTTCTCATTCGTGTGATCCGCAGTCTCACCTTCCTTATTTGATTGCCCAGACCGAGATGATTGACCACGATACCTCGCGCGCCCACCCCGAAGTCTTCGTGCACGTCGAGTCGCATGAGATGCGGGACGTCCAAGCGCGTGAGAGTTTCGACACGAAGCCGCGAACACTTCGCTTAGACGGTTCAATGGACGCCGAGAAATGGGGCGCTACGGACAAGAGCAGGTGGGCTCGCTAGATATTTCCAGTCATTTTCGACACAAGTCTACGTACGCCTGACCCTGTTTTTCGGACCTGCGGGACAAAAGCGTCCAATTGCAAAGCGCTTTACTGTGTACCAACTACCAACTACTGTAGCAACCTTTCGTTCTTTAAATCCTCGACATATGGACGCTCCTATTATTTTTGATACCCCTTTTGTCACAATATCCGAATGAGGTTTCTCTGTTTGTGTCTTGAGAGCGCCTTGATTGATCTGAACTTAAGCGCTCGGTCTGGCGCTCTGCCGCGCCACATTCATGAACCATCAAAAACTGATACGATTGTTTGGTAGGAAAGGATACATCGATTTTATTTTTTATCTTTAATGGTGCAGGTCGGGCGGACATGTCTTGAAAATCTCGACGTGCGTAGAGACTCAAGGGGCTTCGTACATTTAAAAAATTCGATGAATGGTGTTCCCCTTCAGAAGCTTTTTTCTCTGTGAGCTATGAAACTCAGAAAGTATAAATACTTACGGAAGGGCGAAAATCTTGACATCGGGGAGGTTGATGTCACCGAAGAGAACGACATTGACGAATAATGTGCAGTAGAGGTCATGTTTCCCGGAACTGTTGGACTTGGCCGTAAATTTGGCGCTACCCTTGGCGACGACAACGTTAATGGTGGCCGTGACGGAGGCTCCGTCTTTCAAAGATCCCTTGATTGAGGTCAACTTGACTCGGCCGGCGATGGGGATCTTTACAAACAACTCCGCGGAAATAAACAACGATGCCGGAGAGATTGAACCAACAAGCTATGTAATGTCTTCAATATACACCACTGACTGGAATAAAAGCAAAGCATATACCTGGAAAGCTGTGAAGTAGAGGCTGAGGGAGTATCGAGTAAGTCTTGGCCTTGCCATCCGCGGGCTTCGATAGTATGGAAGAATTGAAGTCGGACGTGGAAATGAGGCTATTGGCATCGGCATTCGAGTTATCCTTCCAGATTTTCTGTTCCTGAAATTCGGACTGAATAGCGATGACATAGGCCCCATTTCCCATGTCAAAAGCAGTATCATCCAAGTATCCCAACAGCACTGTCGAGTATTCGTTGGATGAGTTCGTAGTAAGCTGCGGTATTCACGTACAGCTGTGATCATTGATATGATAGGCCTCTGGTATGAAGGCCGGATTGGGGAAAAATTCTCCCGTAATTTTATACACATGGAATACGACTTAATACACAAAATTTCAGATTGAACACACACAGAGTATGGGGTGAATACACATGCAATGCAGTTTAACACACACACAACAGAGTTTGACACACACGGAGACTAAAGTCATACACAGATGGTCCGTTTCAACACACACAAATTGTTATTTTACACACATGCACGGAATTTTACACACAGAGAGCGCTCGCCAACACGCACAGAGGCGCTCATGGTTTGACACACAGGAATCTCGGCAGTTTCGGCGATCAGCGGAGCTTAAATATCTCAGCGTTCTTGGCTGGCCTTCTTTGGGCACCTAAGGCGAGTCCCCCTTGGCCCGCGTTCCCAATACCCTAGACGGGGCATTCTGAAACTCCCTAGAACTTCATTTCAAGTGGTTAATATCTTGCTCAAGTTATTGCCAAATAAATTAATTCACAAGGTTTCTTTGACTATTAGCTTGCCCTTGTGCGCCTCACCCTGGAGTCCTTTGTAGGCACATTTCACGCGAGTAAAGGGAGTAGAAATGCTGATGTTGAGATTGAAGGGTAGAAGGGGCTTGTAAACTTAAATTAAAGAGTAATATAGCTTATTTAGGTAATAAAATTGGGCGAGGAGTATTGGGGACGCGGGCCAAGGGGGACTTGCCTTAGGCGCCCAAAGAAGGCCAGCCAAGAACGCTGAGATATTTAAGCTCCGCTGATCACCGAAACTGCCGAGATTCCTGTGTGTCAAACCATGAGCACCTCTGTGCGTGTTGGCGAGTGCTCTCTGTGTGTAAAATAACAATTTGTGTGTGTTGAAACGACCATCTGTGTATGACTTTAGTCTCCGTGTGTGTCAAACTCTGTTGTGTGTGTGTTAAACTGCATTGCATGTGTATTCACCCCATACTCTGTGTGTGTTCAATCTGAAATTTTGTGTATTAAGTCGTATTCCATGTGTATAAAATTACGGGAGAATTTTTCCCCAATCCGGCCTTCATACTCTGGAGCCGAAAGTAAAGTGAGCCAAAGACCCTATAACAGAGGACAGAGACCCACGAAAATTGGAGTGCTTCTCCATGACCGCAGCAGCCATTCTGAAGTCGTCGTGGAATTTAATTATCAGCAGTCCCAGATCTTCTTGACCAGCAAATCCGAGTAGTCCCTGACCACCAAGAGTGTCTTCATGCAGAAACTGGGAAATATGAGCAAAACTTCATACCATCTACCATGTTGTAAGATACCTGATCCAAGTGGTACCGGTAAGGGCTCGTGATGCTAGAGAAAGTGAGATGTAAGCCGGAAATGGTAATAACTCTGATATTTGATCACAAGGAGCTCGTACGAAGTAGGGAACAAGCTGATTTTATCTTCCATCATACCAGTGAAAGGCGTCTCCAATTTGTAGGACATAATGACTTCTTTCTGGTTGTGTTTTTCAGCGAAGTACCAGAATATTGTCCCTTTGATCTTGGACTTGTTTTCTTTGTTTGTGATGTTGATGCAGATCTTCTTGTGCTTCTTCGCATCTTCACCATTGAGCTCAACGTATTTGCTGTGGGTGATGGTTGTGGGCCCATACCCAGGAATTGCAAACATTAGCATAAACAAGGTTGGGGAGCCACCGTACTGCTGACCTCGAAGTAGCCGAAGGCGGATATCACTTGAACAACGTCTTTATGGCCAATGATGTCTTCGATAGAGGCGGAATCAGAATCAGAGTTGGAATCCGAGTCAGATGAATAGGCTGGACCATGGTTGAGGGGAATAGGAAGGGCAAGGACGTCCAGGTTGTTCCCCCCACATTTCCTGACCCATTTGTGAGAGAGCACCCAGTCGTTGACAGCTAGAGATAGATTTTGAGATGCAAAGGGATACAGCATAGAAATGTAGATGATACCAGAACCAATGCCTCGAGGATCGTTAATGCCTTGGGAGATGTGATGATCAAACCAAAATTCAATGAGCACAATAGAGGTGTATGTACTAGGGATTGTCGACATTCTATGGTGGTCCGTGCTGGACAAAAATACAATGTAAATGAATTTCAGTGACGATTGTGGCAGAATGCGGAAGAAAGTCAGGGAATGGTCACGATAGCCAAGGAACGGTCATGATCATCAAAGAATGTTGACGTTCTTTGACGATTGGCACAGAAAGTTACCTTTTTTGGCAGGATGTTAACAATAATCAAAGAATGACACCCCGCAGAATGTCACCATTTGTCACCGATCTGTTGACAGAGGCCAAAACAAATGAGAATTTGTCTTGACATGGCCTGGCCTATTGTTCCAGTTTCTTCAAGAATCTCTGAGACCCCAAACTGCCTCCATGACGCCACACCATGTGTGGGTTTCATATGCCAGGCCTATGCCGGCTGCTCTGCTTGCATGCTGACTAACAGTCGGGCCGTGGGGACCCACCAGTCTTAGTCAGCGGGGAAGAAATGCCTCGCTGACTAAGATTGGCAGGGTCCCATGGCGCGCTGACTAAGTTGTTGCTCCCGCCCTTCTCATTACTGTTGTGGACAGCAAGCTCGCTGTTCACACCATTTCCGGTCCATTTCCCTCCATTTTTTTTGCTAGTATCAATGTATGTAGTTATTAATGAAGTTATGTAACACATATACTGTTGTAAACCCCCATAAGCTGTATAAAATGCGAAAACAATAATATGAATAACAGTCCCTCATCCATACCCAGCCCTAGGCATATTCCCCAGCCCAGGAAGCATCTGGAGTATTTAATATAGACACATGTATGAGTGGGAAGGCCACCATCCAGGTTATGGGAGTGGCAGGATATACAGTATCATGGTGATTAATGTACCTCTCCTCCTACCCCTCTTCCACACACCAATAATGCAACTATTACTATGGTTAGTAGCTCAATTTAATGGTACTACAATAGCGCATTTTTAGGGCCCTCTATTCGAGCCATTTGTGGTTTGAAGGGAGAGGGTATGACCCATGACCCTCAACAGTAGATATTTTATTAAAGAACCATACATGCATTTATGGCCAATTTGACTTGGTATATACTTAATAGTATTATGCTTTAGTATATATATGTATTTAAATATGGAGCGCCGCACATGTGGGGAAAGATATGAGGAGGGGGAGGAGGAGCACATACCTCATCAGTCACCATGTCCTCCTGTCACGAATAGTGCATATCGCATGCTCTAGGTAGACTCTATGGGTGTGCAATATGTATACCTTGATATTTTAGTAGTCACGGTTAGAGAATAGATGCTTGGGTGAGATGGTATTAAAGCAAGGAGGATATCTGCATAAAAAGCATGAAAATCGTCCACTGTCACATAAATACATCAAGTAAAAATAATATATATACCTAGGCATATACTCATACATTCTAAGAGCCAGCCGAAAAAGAGTTTACGAAATTAGAGCAAGATTGAGGTGAGATATGGATGAGACAGTGAATTTTGAAGGGCAGAAACTCGGTCACTACATGTGACTATAATTTGCAGCTTACTATCTACCCTTCTTTGGGAGTTCCTTTGCCATATCTCACCTCAATCTTGCTCTAATTTCGTAAACTCTTTTTCAGCTGGCTCTTAGAATGTATGAGTATATGCCTAGGTATATATATTATTTTTACTTGATGTATTTATGTGACAGTGGACGATTTTCATGCTTTTTATGCAGATATCCTCCTTGCTTTAATACCATCTCACCCAAGCATCTATTCTCTAACCGTGACTACTAAAATATCAAGGTATACATATTGCACACCCATAGAGTCTACCTAGAGCGTGCGATATGCACTATTCGTGACAGGAGGACATGGTGACTGATGAGGTATGTGCTCCTCCTCCCCCTCCTCATATCTTTCCCCACATGTGCGGCGCTCCATATTTAAATACATATATATACTAAAGCATAATACTATTAAGTATATACCAAGTCAAATTGGCCATAAATGCATGTATGGTTCTTTAATAAAATATCTACTGTTGAGGGTCATGGGTCATACCCTCTCCCTTCAAACCACAAATGGCTCGAATAGAGGGCCCTAAAAATGCGCTATTGTAGTACCATTAAATTGAGCTACTAACCATAGTAATAGTTGCATTATTGGTGTGTGGAAGAGGGGTAGGAGGAGAGGTACATTAATCACCATGATACTGTATATCCTGCCACTCCCATAACCTGGATGGTGGCCTTCCCACTCATACATGTGTCTATATTAAATACTCCAGATGCTTCCTGGGCTGGGGAATATGCCTAGGGCTGGGTATGGATGAGGGACTGTTATTCATATTATTGTTTTCGCATTTTATACAGCTTATGGGGGTTTACAACAGTATATGTGTTACATAACTTCATTAATAACTACATACATTGATACTAGCAAAAAAAATGGAGGGAAATGGACCGGAAATGGTGTGAACAGCGAGCTTGCTGTCCACAACAGTAATGAGAAGGGCGGGAGCAACAACTTAGTCAGCGCGCCATGGGACCCTGCCAATCTTAGTCAGCGAGGCATTTCTTCCCCGCTGACTAAGACTGGTGGGTCCCCACGGCCCGACTGTTAGTCAGCATGCAAGCAGAGCAGCCGGCGTAGGCCCGGCACATGAGTTGAGTGTGCCAAGCCCCTCGCAAAGTCCTGGGGTCCGACACATTCCTGAAGAAAAATATAAAGATTCTTGAAGATTCTGGCCAGATGTCAAAGAAAGAATGAGAGGCTCACAGTGAAAATGGTAACAGAAAGTTGAAGAAACCTACCGTATTGATCTGTGCCAAATGTTGAAGATCGGGATATTTCAGTGGAAATCTTTGACAAAAGTCAAAGAACGTCAACAAAAGTTGGAGATTGTTGACAAACATTGACGAAAGTTGACAATCGTCAACGAACGCCGACGATCTGGGACTTTTGGGTGACATATTCATTGCAGGGGGTGGTATTTACATGGTAAGCCCTATTTTTGTCCATGGTGGGCCGTTATAACATTCTATGGTCTTTATCGCTTGCTAAATTGGCGGCACGGATGGGCATTGAGCAGCTTCGCTTGTCTTATATACTGTACACATATTCCGATCTTTAGGCGTTCCATAGTTCAGGCAAGAACGCTCCGTAATGCTCTCGTTTGTGATCAAGTCACACCACAAGAGCTGTGGGATAGCCGTCTGAACGTAACTAACTGTACAAGCACTGGGTAATTTTAGAAGTTGCCGTACCCACACACGATCAATGTCATTGACGAGAATGGGATTCAGAGTACCAGAATTATTCTTGGTTGACCGTGGTTATCTGGACCTTTCCCCATTGCCAACGCTACCTGTGAGGAATCAACATGACTCCGGAGTACGATCGCTGAGCACAACGTACGGGGGTAAGTCAACGTCTACGAGTCGGAAGCATCTAAGCATCGTCTGACGGTCATTGCAGCTGCAGGAAGCCCTGCGGAGTCGATATATTTCAAGCTAGGCAACACGATGCCCGTCTAATTATCGTCCCTTACGACGGATCTACAACTTTGCCTTGACATTCTTCAGCTCCTTTGCTCGGTCTCGCAGGACTCGGCGAAGGAGCTTGCCACTTGGGGAGGTGGGGATGGCCTCCACTAACTCAACACCACCGGCCAGGTGCTTGTAGTGAACCTTGTTCTGCGCCACGTGCTACACCAAGGCATATGCATAAACACGGATGGGCTAGGTTGAGATTGACGCAGGCAGACACTGACCTGGATTATGGAAGCCTTAATCTGTTCGGCCACATCAGGGACTTTCGCTACTCGCTTTGCTGCACTCGGTGTCAGTACCACGAAAGCAAGAGGAACCTCGCCACCTAGGACGGAAGTGTCAAAGACGGCTTGCAACACAACGCAAGATAAGGCGCACTATAGTCATCTGGTACACCAACCACGCAAGCGTTGTCGACGTCAGGATGATCAAGCAAGCAACCTTCCAGCTCGGCAGGTGCCACCTGGAAGCCTTTGACCTGGTAGCATGCTTTCAGAAAAGCTTAACTCGTAACATGTGGTCGTATCACCTTCATGATTTCCTAAACACCCTCAAATCAGCGCGGTTCAGGGGATATCTCAAGCAGACGGACCTTCAAACGATCCAATACGACGACTTCACCATCACGGGAGATTTTGACTTCGTCCCCTGTCTTCACCCATCTACGAGTGAGCTCGTCAAGCACCCATCGTTATCTTTCAATGCAGAGCTCTCACCCTTCAACAAATGTTTCCTTTGTTCTGGTTAGGGGTTAGGCAACGATTTCCATTCATACGATAAGTTGAACACTTACGCCTGTGCATTGTTTGCATATCCTAGAGCAACGGAAGGCGTCTTAATCACTAGCTCTCCGGCTTCGTCGTATCCGGCCAACGAGCCATCCTGCTTGACGACTCGGGCTATGGTTCCCGGAAGGAGCTGTCCGCTACCTACGAATCAACTTTGCGTCAGAGCTGAAGAGAAAGGACCGATGCGGTGAAGATGGAAACCGTACTTCCTGATACGCCCCTCTTCTGCGTTATCGGCCACATAGTAGTGGCCGTACATGTCTCCGTCATGCCTATCCCGACCCAGGGTAAGCGGACCTTGGTACCTATCGAAGAACGATATAATTACCATAAGCTTGGCCAATATGTGCCTTGGGGAACATCTCGAACAACTGTTGATTGAGTTCACGAGAAAGCGGAGCAGCCCCGCACATGATCATCCGGATGTGCTGCCGAAGATCATAGTCTTTGACCGCGGAATGCTGTCCATAATCGGAGAACTCTGAGTAAAGGAGGGTCGTTGTGAACCGGGGAAACTCTTACCTTGCAAAGAAGAACAACTTGAGGAGGAACGAGCCTAGATATGTAATGGATCAACCAACCCAAGCTTCTTCCTGGAGGCAACTTACATGAGGTGGTTTATACGGTGATGGACGATGCTCTTGAGCATCTCTACAAAGTTAAACTTTGGGACGATAACCAAAGACATCTGAGAATTTCGTCAGTGCATTGAGTTGGTACTACGGATGAAGCACATACTCTGGCAAACAAGATAAAATGAAGCTAGAAGTTTCAAAGGCATTAGGCAGGATCATGATGAAAAGTACGACTCTCACGTTGATGACCAAACCATAGATGTCTTTTTCACGGAAGTTCAATCGCTGGTCCATACACCAGTGGAGAAGACGGAGCTTACGATAAAGAGGAAGCACTATGACCGGTCAGCTCTTGTGCCTCGGGAAGTAGCGGTATGGATAAAACTACCTCCAATGGCCACGTCGCCAGGTCGATATCGCCTATCTTCATAGTCACAATAGTCTTCATGAATCCTATTATGAATAGCAATCTGAATGACGTTGGCAATCAAGGCGAAATGAGGTATAGCAACAGCCTGGTGTACAAATGATTGAGTGGCCAAGCAGTGATGTACTAGCGTTTGAAGAGGTTACCTTCGGACGACCAGTAGTACCCGACGAAAAGCTCAAGAATGCAAGCTTCGTTCTTCCTTCACCAGGGGCCAGCTTTCTCTCAAAGTAAGCCTTCTTATTCCTCAGCCCAAGATCAAGCAGTCTCCCAACAGTGCCGTAGCTATCGTACATTTCCTTGGAGATGCTACTCGTGTCGAAGAGAATGATGCGGTCCTTTGATAGACTAGCCTCTCGTGCAGCAATGACCGCGATTGGCAATGAGTCCGGATGAACGATTATAACAGAGGCCTTCGTCTCTTGCAGTTGATAAAGCAATTCACTACTTGTGAAGTCGGGATTTGCTCCTCTATAAATAAAACGGTTTGGTAAGGGGGTCTAAGAAGGAAGACGTGTTTCGCACTAGATTACACCGCCTAGACGATGGACGGCCCATATAGCCACTGGATAGTCTGGAATCTGGAAATCAGGATAATAGTCCAGGCAATGATAATAGCGATACTGACCGACGTGATTTCGACTGAACAAGAGAGCTGAATGTACCTAACGGTAAGAAATTTCATAGAACATAGTTGTCCAGTCGCGTACCAACGTCATTGTCCCCTTTGGTCCCGGTGAGCAACGTATCGAGACTGAAAAAATTTACGCACTCACCTATGCCATACTGCATGCTGAGAGCATTGGCCAGTCCGTCCACCCGTTGACGCAGCTAGGCCAACCGTGTCAACCTTAAGCTGTTGTATTCAACGGACACCTGCACACCTCAGCTTTCCAGAATTTCCTTCCTGTCTCATCCTGGATCAACCAAGGTGCCTCTTTTCCTTGCGGTCGGATCTCGTGCCTCGCGTCGAACATGAACTGAGGTATTGTGACATTGTCAGGAATGTGGGGTAGTGTAGTGACCTTCGAGTAGAATTCCATGCTCCAGATGTCGTCGCAAGCGTTACGTAGGTCGTAGAGAGTGTAGCCGGGTGTTGAAGATCAAGAAAAGCTTAGACATTGTCGGGTCAATGATATGCACCATGAGAATAGCACGCAATCTGCCAATCACAGGAGTGGCGGAGGTCAAGTGAGCAACAACTTGGCAACTGTGAAACGTACTTGCCGCTTTTGGCACTTCGGCTCGCGAGGACGGTGCCGGCCGTACTGAAGCTTGAGCTCGAGGGTGAAGCATTTCTGGGACTTCGATTGGATAGCGTATTTCTCTGATATTCGATAGAAAAATCCTACAAGGCGTACAATAAGGATAAATATCAACGCCACGGACAGGCGGGAGAGTAATTAATTAGCACTTCGGCCTCAAAGTCTAGCTCTGGCAGAATATGTTGGTCCCGGGTTCAGCTTCGCATCTTCCCGCAAAATACGTCTTAGTATCTTCCCGCTTCCATTTTTCTGAACAAATGGGTTGATAAAGGGCAAAAGAGATGGATCAGAAAACTCACTGGAATCGACTCCACAAAGCGAACACCACCAGTAAGGCGCTTGAAGCCGGCCTTCCGCTCGTCAACATGCTGCGAGTTCTATTTGAAACTTGGTGATATAAGTAGAGCTGTGAGACCCACCTTAATTATACTAGAGCAGAAGAAGCCGGCCATACTTGAGTTACGACTTATACGCTCCGAAGCAGACGGGGACAACACGATATAAGCAAGAGGTAGCTCTCCATTGTAGTCGTCTGGAAGACCCACGACGCAGGCATCTGCTACATCCGGATGCGAGAGAAGACATCCCTCCAGTTCAGCAGGAGCTACCTGGAAGCCTCGTACTTTCATAAACTCCTAGAGAAACATCCTTCAGAACACCGACGCTATGCCGGTAGGTATCAGGTGGCGTACCTTGAGGCGATCAAATACAAACACTTCTCGATCTTTGGTAAGAACAACTTCGTCGCCGGTATGAACCCACCTAAGGCGGAACGGTCAATTACCCGGGGCACCTATAATTTACGCCGAGCCCTGGGCGTACCCATCTATGAAAGTCTCACTCGTCCTACAAAAATAAATCATCCAAGAGTTAGTGCAGCACGCGTAAAAGAATGAGAAATACGCACGCCTGCGGATTGTTAAAATATCCCAGAACATTCCCAGGACCCTTGACAATCAGCTCTCCTCTCTCGCCGTATCGAGCGAGTGATCCATCAGGCTTGACGACGCGGGCTTGTATTCCAGGAAGAAGGCGGCCAGAACCTTGTACCTCTAGGTCAGAAACTAACAAGACCAACAGCTTCGGGGTACACACTTCCGAGTGGCCCCCTCCTTTGCTTTGGCGATACCATGGCGAGTGTCGTTGTCATTTCCGTAAGGCCTAAAGATAGTCAGGCTTGTGAAATTAATGGACCTTCCCAACTTACCATACGCCTGTCCTATCTGTGCGGACGGGAATATCCTGCACAACCTTTCTTGCACCTCTCGTGATACAGGGGCGGCTCCTGACCGTGGCGAAAGGAATCAGTCAGCCTTAGAGACGTAAAGTAGTTCGAAGGTGAAAGAGTACCTATAATTACATACTTGACTCTGGTGAAGTCGTGGTCAAGAATTCTAGGATACTGTTCTGGCTGTCACAAAGCCATCTGACAGCGAAAAGTATAAAACATACCTTGGCGAGCATGACGGCCTGAGGTGGAACAAGTCTGATGCCTTTCCGTTGAACATACAATTGTTGGAAAGAAGAAGGAACATACACAAGATGGGATACATCGTACCGCAAGATGCTTTCCAACATGGCGTCGAAGTCATACTTCGGGACCACCACGAGGGTCATCTAAACATCCAATATTCTGACTCAGTGCGCTAGTTACGCTGAGAACAAAGCATCGCTTACAGCACAAAATACAGTGAGATGAAGCTAATACAACAGCGAGGTGAGCCGAGATGACCGGGCCCAATAGTAGAGTAGTTCGACTCACACTTAAGACGAGGCCTGCAACGTCTGCAGAGTAATAACACTCAGTTAACACACCCCAAGTGTCCGTTTAGATATCTACTTACGGTAGAAGGGTAATACTAAGCAAGCCAAGGAATCAGAAGACTATTCATTGGGGAAAGATAGGAAGAGTACTTGCCACCTAATGCGACATCTCCTGGACCATACGACTGGCGTCCGCGATGTCCGAAACCCTCTCCGACTTGATTATGAGTCGCCATCTGTATGACGTTGGCGATAAAAGCATAGTGAGGTATTGCCACCGCCTACCACGAGAATACAATCAGTTCATTGGATTTAGAACATTACGCATTCAAAAGTACCTTTGGCTTCCCTGTCGTACCGGATGACCAGCATAGTAAAGCAATCTTCGTCTTTCCTTCTCCGATACAGAGAACTCGCTCGGAGAACATTCTTACCCTCTCGTGACCGAGCTTAATGAGGGCAGGCACGCCTTGAAAGCTTTCAAAACCATGGGATGAGGGGGGCTGATCGAGTAGAACGACTCGACCCGGGGGAAGGCCGATTGTGCGAGCAGCATCCAGCGCAATTGTCAACACGTTTGAATGCACCAGAACAAAAGTGACGCCAGCCGTCTCCAGCTGATACACTAGCTCATCAACAGTAAGGAGAGGATTTGAGCACCTGATTCAGCATCTTGTGAGGGGTCCGTATAAATCGCGAAAATACCAGAAGAGCCTACGTCACAATGCCACCAAGTTTATGGACAGCCCAAATCGCCACTGGATAATCTGACACCGCCCGATGAACGCCAGCATACAAGCAAACCATGATGGACTGACCGATGTGATTGGGGCTGACGAGCATCACTGAAAGAAATACGCGTTCAACAAGATGAAAACGGACTTGAGGAAGAGGCAATACCCGTGTCCTCTTCACCTAAGGCATGGAGAGAATGTAGTTGTTGAGTTATTCAATATTACTTAACAGTTTGAAATGTCTATACCTATATTATATTCGTGGAATAGGCCATTTGCAAGATCATCCGTTCTTGTTCTGAGCTGTAAAAAGATATTCATATAAACACAAAGCGTGTCCAGTCACTTGAGGACATACTGTTTCAAGGCTGAAGGGTTGGCCGGTAGCATCGTCGATCAAACAAGGAGTCAATCCTCGCAGCGGGCGTATCTCATGCTGATAATCCAACATGAACTGGGCGACGGTCAAGTTGTCTGGAATATGAGGAAGCGTATCTTGGGGCTCGGAGGTGTAGAAGTCGGCCATGGCGTCCCAGGAGAAAGGCTATTAGGGGACTATCGCTACGCTCAAGACGAAAAGGGGGAAATGCGCGATGCAAGGCAGAGAGGATAAGCTCTTTATAGGTAGTTCTTTTTTCTCCCGGCGTCCACGTTTGCGTTCGTGCACTTCCGACGCCGTGTTGGGATATCGATATCGCCGGGCCTCGCGAATGCTTCGTTAAGATCCCATGAGTCATTTCCCAGATCCATTCGTCGAAAATGAGGCCAATGTAATAATAAAGTTCGGGCCGCCCATATTTTCTCCAGCTAGCCTGTAGCCAGCCGATTTGTCCGCAGGAAATAAGGTGTGGCTGGGCGTGGAACTGAGAGATATGATGCCTTCTAAGTAGCATGTGGGCGACACCATGATGTCAATTGGAGTGAATGGATTGACGGATGAGAGGCGAGTATACTTTGGTACATCGCCGCTGTAACTGGGATGATGATGATCACAAAAGGTAAATATGTTCGTCGGAAGGAGAAGCATCGTCCGGTGTCTTGCATAATTGGCCGGGTAGGATGTTCTTCGAGGGCGATAGGGCAAGCAAGAGCATTTGAACGCCGGCCTCCGAAGCTTGATCTGCTTCGTGGCCTTCTTGCGAGGCTGCAGGCTTCCGGGCACATCCTGGAGCGCGCGAACGCACGATAAAGCGAGTTCTAACAGTCCAGCGATGCAAAATTTCAGGTCCGATTCGATGGCTGAGCGCAAGCATAAGGTCACAAGGTGTGGTAATGGACTCAACTCGACCCAATGCTTCTCCTTGTACGCTGCCAACTCTCCCGCCCTCCTTACGAGTACAACTCATTCATAAGCGCGATAGAACGACAGGGTCTCTTGGGTTCTCTTCTCCGGAAGCATCCTTCGCACGCCCAGCCTCCTGGCTCGCCATCTTCCGCCCCTTGAACAAGGATACAAAGGCACCATGCCCCTCTTCCTCCGGGCCTTCCGAAACGAGAGAAGGGCGATATTTGTACCACCACCTCATTGCTGCTTCCTTCTCGCGATCACCCGTGTTCTCCAGCAGCTCGCTGAATAGAGCCTTCAGTAGCTCCGTCTTTCTCCCCTTTCCCCCCGTCTCATCATCGCCACTGTCAGTCCCTGGGTATGCCGTGATAACAACGCGGACTTCCTCCAGCGTGCGCAACATGAGAGGCAGAGGGAGCGACGAAATGGTTGAAATCAGCATCAGATGCAGCCGGTGGACGCGTTTCGTCGTTCGCTCGTCGTCTTCCCGTGCCTTTCCCTTGCCTTTCGGGTCAGGAGCAAGCTCGTGGATGGTGTCAAGCAGCAGCTGCACGCAGTACCATGCAAGGGTGTACGTCTCGTTTTGAGCCCCGCCCGGCGAAACGGCACTAACACTAGCGCTTCGAACTAACGCCGAGTAGGCCAACCGGAGCTGCGGAGTGTTGAGTTTGCCATCCATAGAGTTCTATAGCGAATTCAAAAAAGGCAGTTAGCTTTAGATCGATGAGATAATAAGCCGTGGGCAAAGCTGTCCGCGGCAGAACTGAGCTTGCCATATAAGAGAACCAACAATTTTTTTAAAGAGACATAACCATCGAAATAGACACTCACGTCAATCAAGCACTTCGCATAGAAAGGAACCATGCGTTCCACAAATTTCGCAGAAAGAGCCGCATCATCACTCCTATTAGCTTTCTTCGATGACGACTCTCCTTCGGTTCCGACATTTTTGCTCAACTTGGTCGAGTCGATGACACCTGAGAGGACCCGACTTGCGTAACCTTGATCACTCAGGAACCTCTGCTTGGCAGATAGGCTGACCGTTTTCGGCTCAGACGAGGTAGCAGGAATGGGTTCGGAGGAGCGGGCCCCGGTCGAGTATTGCTGTTGGCGTTGAGCATGCGAGGCAAAAATGGCCAGGATGACTGAATGGGCCGACTCGTACGTTTCGCGATGAGACGGGTCGGACAAGTGCCTGTTTCGGTATGAAAATGTGAGCAAACTGTTTCTCGATCCACACAAGCAATGCAGGACGCGATCGCAGCGAGGACGGCCGTCCTAGGCGTACCCGGTGATGTTGGCACAGGTCAACGGAGAGGTGCCACCGGTCCTGGACACAGGGTACTCGGACGAAGAACGACCGAACTGCAAAAGGAGCAACGGTTGAAGGGGTTGACTTACGGATAGCAGACGCCCCAAACCCAGTCTCTGATGCACTTGCCGCTCAGGACTGGAACCAACTGCTCGATACTTGCGAGGACAAAGGCTTGTTTGGCTTGACGTGGCGATGTCGCGGCTGAAAGGGGCGCATGAGCATGAGACGGCAATCATGGCAATGAACGCAACCATACCAGTCTCCTTTCGTTGCGAGTTGAGCAAGAAACAGGCCTGTTGAACATACGCCTCCGCCTTCGTACCAACTCCTCGTAAGTCCATCTCACTCTGAGCCAGGATGTCCAACGCGAGATAGAATGTCTTCTTCAGGTGCTCAAACCCTTGAGTCGTGGTCGTCACTCCACCGAACTGGGATATCACGAACGACAAATGTGACAGGGTGTGCAATATCTGCAACGCTAGCGTCGCCGGGGTGATGTCGATGCAGTATTCAGGCGGAATGTACACGGCAGCGGACAAGACTGCTTCGGCCAGCATAATGTTCGAGAATAAAAAGGTCTTCAGCATCGTCCATATCGACTTCGTGACTTCTTGAGAATTGGATGCTGAGGGGTCGGAAGGCTGTCAAGAGTGGGCAGGTGCATAGCATAGCGATGACGCACCAATCTCGAGATCCGTGAAACTCGCCAGAGGACATGCGATCCAATCGCGTTCCAGGACCTTGGCCATCTCGCGGAGGACGTCAAGCGTATCAGAAATCGTGTACATGTTGTCCGGTGTGCGTGAAGACGAGGGTGAATCGATCAGGAGCGCCAATATGCTGGCAGTCAGTCTTGATATAGACGCAATCGAGGTTGTGAGAGGAGAAGAGGACATTGATTGCAGAGTTTGGGTGAGAGGTGAAGAGGGCTGTGAGGAGTATGTCATTATTGAATTGAATCAAATGCAGCATACTTACAGATATATGCACTTGCTTTTCCGCTGAAAGAGTGACAGAAGCCGATACCGACGATAAAAACGTTCCTGATTTGAATGTTGAAGTAATGGTCGACGTCAGGAGGCGCACTAGAGCGGGTAATGGAAGTGCTTCGAGCTTGTTTGGAGCCACCAGAGGGAGTGATTGAGAAGCGAGAATCAACGCCAGCGACAGAATATCTAATGAAGTGAGCAAGCAATACAAAGAATGAAATATGTGATTATACCTTGACCAGCAGGCTGAAACTCTCTTTCCCATTCTTCCACGCCGTTGCTCGAGGAGCCCAACGAATAGGCGTATGTGTCCATAACCTCTGCAAGGGCAACCACAGTTTCGTCTTCTACACCAGCCCTCGCGGTACCAACGTCCGCTCCCTCTCTCTTCTCACCCTTCTGACTAATCTTGAGGTCCTCAACTCCCAACAAAAGGCCACTGCATGCAGCTAGCCTCAGCACCGGATGACCACCTTGAACTCCCTTGAGGACGTCCGTGACCCATTGACCCAACACAGCCGGTATGCTCCTTCCCAGGATTGTTCGGAGCTTCGAACGCAACTTCGCGGAATCTGCCAAGGCGCGGTACTTCAGGTGGGTGGAATGTCGAAACGCGACTGCAAGCGACTGTAGTTTCTCATGCGTGAAGGGCTGAGACAGGTAAAAAGGCGATGATATGGCGGTGGCAGCTAGTGGTGTGGGCAGAGGAGATATTGTTGCAAGATGGTGTGCAAGAGCGCCTTGAATTGTTGAAATTGGGAGTTTGGACGTTGTGCTGTGTAGGTGAGAGAGGAGAATGGTGTAACCACGATCTGAAGACATGCTGCCAAAGTCCAAAGAGTCTAGCTCCAAGCGAGCTCTAAGGAATAAATACTGGCTTCTGGAGCAGGCACGAGGTAGAGGGTATCCAGAGAGCACAAAGGACAGGACTTTTGTGGTCAAGAGATGGTGACGGCTTTAGGAAAGAGGAAAAATCACGTTTGATAACCGGGGAGGTGACCACTAACCGGTCGGTCCGAATTCTGGACGACCGACGCTAAGAATCCTTTTCAAAATGAGAATTGAGATATTGGCAAGCGGTGCACATATACGCGTCAATGGCAAGTTCATCCACCATAGCAAAACACACAGGCCTTTGCCATAAGGTGCTTGGACTATTATTTAAATGACGGCCTGATGAGTCACGAAATCATGATTCGGGGTAAAACTCGAATTTTACACTGGCATATGAGCTGCTAGACTTCGACGGAATCATCGACGGTTGAGCAGGGTTGAAGGGCGGGATCCCGCCCTAATCGTGTGCGCATCATTCGATCATGACTCACTATAACACCGCCATGCCCGCCCGCAGACGACAACGACGGACACGTTGTATTGCGTCCCCTGTGACAGCAAGGTCTCCTCTGACTCGACCCGATCCCTGCTGGTTATAAGGCGACCGTTCTCGTAGGAGGGTAGTTAGTACTACCTACAACCAATAACTCAGCTCAATAACACACTTCTGCAGCAGACATGCCAAGGAGATCAAACAAGCGCGTCAAATACAGCCTTTTTAGTGAAAATTCAGCGAACGTCGAGTCAACGGCGAAGCCCAACGCCAAACAAACCTCGAAGATTCTAGAGTTCCCATACGAGCTGATCCTTGAGATCCTCTCCTACTTTGAGGCGCTCCCAGTTCCTTTCACCCCGGACGATGCGCGAATGAACAGCTTCAGCACACATCTACCGGAGAGCACCTTAGAGCGCTCGGATACTCTGCGTGCGCTATCCCAAACCTGCCGCATGTGGCGCAATGTTTTCTTGCCGATGGTCTGGCAGAACCTCGAAGTATCTGCGACGCACTCACAGTCCGCCGCTTGGTATAAGGTCTTCGGGGAGGCACTTATCAGGAAGTCCAAGCTCGTTTGTGATAATCCCGATATCGCATCGCTTGTTAGGTGTGTCCCTACTAGACTCTTTCGCATCTTTATTTTCATTGAGCTGCCTCAAAAGGAGCTATACAGTCATTATTTCACGCTACTCGCCATTCACCGTCCTTCCCGCATTTGTACAAACTATCGAAGCTCTACCGAACTGCCATACCCTCCAAATTCTACGCGCGCATCATAAGATGTCCACCATGTTCAAAGGCGCCTTCGAAGGGCGTTCCTTTCCCCAAATTCGAACTGTTGTCCTACCATCTCAGGCGCATCACGTCCTGCGCTGTTGTCCCGAGGCGCGCAGGGTGATTTGCAACAGTTACGATCATGGTAGCCAGCTCGTTAGTGCCATTGCCAAGAACTGCAAGAAGGTCGAGGTGATCGAAGGCTTGCATTGGTGGCACGGGGACAACACCATCGAACGTGCGTCATCTTTTTTATATATTAACACTTCGTTCACGGGTCATTTTTTCATCTATCAGGCATTCCTCGAGCGATGCCAAAACTCCGAATTATCAAATTTAGTTCACTTGTACACCCAGTGCGTGACAAACGTTAAACCCCAATCCTTATTCATCCGTCGTCTCAATTCCTTCGCTTTCCTAAAGGACGTCCTCAAACCCCTCGCCAAGCTAACGAAGTTGGAAACGATCGTGTTCCCCACAACCGCTCAAGACTTCGACACTCTCATCCAGTCTCATGATCACCGCCAAGAGCTTGCCTTCATCAAAAGTGCGAAAGAGCTCTCGCGGAACTCGAAAGCCACCGGTCGCAAGACCATCGTCGTTCGATACACTCAATGGCGTCCAACTGCGAACAGCTACGTGTCGTGGTCCAAAGTCATCGAACTCAACGATAAGTCTCTGGAGTTGCCCACCTCCAGTCGTACGCTCCACGTCTCCTAACCCAGCTAGCTCCTGGACCTTACTTAAATTCTTGGACATGACTGGATCTTGGACTTATGATACCCACGTCTCCTTTTTGCTGCATACCATGGACACCGTTATCTTACTGCTTTCGTGCTGTTCGAGTCGTACCCTCTATTGCGTTGTATGTATTGTATAAACCCAGATGTAGTTCTCGAACAGATGATCGATGCTCTGAGGTTCGTGAGGGGGCATTCAATTCATTCAAGCACAAATACCATTTTCCGGCCTGTTAATCAAACCGTACGTTCACGCCACCTTCAGGGCAAGCGACGAAATGGCGGTATTCTTGTTTAGGGAATTCTATCCTTTTTAGGCCTCGCTTCCCCTGAACCAGAACAAGACGAAACAACGCCCAGCAATTTTGAATATACTTAGCATGGCACATCCAGAATCTGGTGGTAAGTATATATGGAAGGCGCTAAGCAGATCCAATTCCGTGATGCACACTAGTCACGACCTGTCCGAACTTGAGAGAGGGTTTCAGTACCAGCTCGCTCAAGTGATAACATCGTAGATATTACGAGACTTTAGTCGGATAATTGCATCGTATATCCTTCACAAGCATCAGTGTTTTAGTGACTCATTTAAGCACGATTTTGACCTGAGGAGCTGCAAAGATTTGACATCGTCGTCCAGTTAAGCACCGCGATCGCTCCATAACGTCACCTTTGGTTCCTTCCAATCGACCTTCGATTCAAGACGTGATTAAAATATTAGAGCCCAGAGCTAGGCGTTTGACGCCGTGAAGGACGGATCGGAGGTAAGGTCGATGTTTGCGCACGTGCTTTTCGGACGCGACGCGACTCTTTGGTCGTATTTGCTCCGGACCAACGGAGATGCGCCTCCGCCATTCTCCACCTCCAATAGTTCGCATCCCAACTCTCACACCCCACCCCGCTACCCTTATTGCTATAACCTATTTATTCTATTTAACTGGGTCACCTTTCGTACAATTCACCCAAATATTCTAACACCCATCGTCAGTCGTCCCTTCTTCCACCTACATAAGAGTCGGATCTCACGTACATTTTCTCAGGATAGTATACGTAACATGTCAGAAATAGTTTCCAAGAAGCGCTCAAGGCTCCCAGAAGAGGGAGTCGACAAGGAGAACGCGACCCCAACTGCCCAGCGCTCGTCCAGCAAGAAACAACGCGTCGTCGTCTCCAGTGCACAACCCGACGCGCCCTCTAAACCCACCCCAGATCCCTACTACACTCACCCCCCTCCCTCAACCCCAGTAATCTCTCTCATCTTCCAGCTGCACAAATTCAAAGGCGTCTACCGGATCGTCGAAGTACCCTTGAACTACACCTTCGCGAACCTGCACACGCTCGTGCAGTATATCTTCGGATGGCAGGGGAACCACTCGCACCGCACGCGCGTGTACACGAACGTGGAGATGTATAAGTCCCTCGGGCGCGAGAACTGGATCAAGAGCTTCGGCCAGGCGCCGCCGTGCCCGGAGGAGTGGTACACGGAGACGATGGACGAAGACACGCGCGCGTCGGTCCGATATTGGTTCGAGCGCCAACATGAGGATGCGGCAATCTATGAGGTTGTCGCGGTGGGCAAGGATACAAAAAGCAGGGGCCCGTTCATGGATTATGACTGGCACTACAAGGTGCAGGATCACGAGCTTACGCTCGGCGAGATCTGGAATGAGGACGAGGATCTGAATTTCAGCGCTGGAAGCTGGAAGAACCGCGAAATTGGGATCGTCTATGAGTACGAAATTGGATGTGAGTTTTCCTTTGATCTGCCCTATCCCCAGCTCTAACCATGCATCACAGGCCCATGGAGGGTTGATATTACTGTGGAGGGATTTGGCACCCGCGAGAACGCGAGTAATGGCATCTACTTCAAGACTGCTAAAGGAGCTGTGAGCATGGCACCATACTTTGCTAAACTATATCGCTGATCCATGTATCGCAGCCTCCTGTTGAACAGAAGTACGAATGGGACTCTGACGTATGCCTCTCTTCTGCTGCAGTCTTCGAATACCTGACACACATGCTATTCATAGCATCCCGACGGAGCCAAGAAAACCATCTCCGATCTCCTCTTCGACTCCGCCAACTGGAAGCGCTACTGCAAGAAGCAAATCGGAACGCGCGCGCGCCGTGACGAGCTCGTCGTCTACGTACGCCAGAAAGGAGCTATGACCGACGAGCAGGTGAAGGCAAAGCAAGCCGAGCTCGAGAAGACTGCGAAGCCGATCCGTAAGCAACGCGATAAGGACGAGAGGCAGCGTCTCAAAGAGATGCGTGCCCGGCTCAAGGAAGAGCGAGGCAAGGAGAGTGGAGCGGGAAGAGCAGGAGGACTATTTCTCTGGTAAGCCTAAATTCTTGTTCTTCGCTTGACGAAGAAGCTAAACGAGGAAGATGATGAGTGTGTTGTCGCCTGAGCATCCGCGACCTTCAGCGGCTTCGCGACCTGCCTCTTTCTGGTAATCAAACCATCGATACCCTCGTTAAACTTCACTCTTCTGACACAACTAATCCGTATTTCATCTCTGGTCCTATAATCTTCTTTATGCTGACATCTCTCCTAATCTTACGCGATCGTTACTTTGTTCTGTTATATAACTCATTAGTATTCCCTTAATTTTCTGTGTCCCTTCGTTTTAAAGACAAACCTTGTAGAAGGCGACATACCCCTCGATAGGTTTCGCCTTGTCTGTTATCGTACTCGGATAGTACCTACCATAGTTATACATTAGCCCATCTCCCTTGACACAAATTTTAACCACTTACCAAGCGACATCCTTGATCGTCTTTCCATCAACCACGGCATCGTAGTACGAAGCAGTCCTGGAGTTATCGATGACGCTTCAACGCCTTGCAAACCCTTGAAGATGACGTCACTCACCCTTTCCAAGGACAAACGGTGCTCGTGTCGGATTTGCCCAACAAGGAGGCCTTTACAGACGAAGGAGGGAAGTAGTGGTTGCCTTCGACGACGATTGTGTCATTTGACTCTGCAAGAACGTTCCCATCAAGGGTGACTTGAACCATTGTGATATGTACTTGATGATGTGTGAAGCTTTAGGGCGAGTTTGATGCGAAGAAAGAAGATCTGGGGTCCCCTTTTATGTACAACTGAGACTGAGACACGTGTGCTTTGAGAGACAATTGGTAAGTCAGCCTGCTTATCAACGCTGGTTCTGTGGGTATTTTGAGACTGGACGTATATAAAGTATGTGCAGAAAACGAGTTTTGAATCGGACGTCAAGTTACTGTTTGAAAGGGACAGAGTTTTTCAGCATCTGGTGAAAAGAGGTTCGAAAACAACTCACTAGGACATCACTACACGCGTACGATGTGCTAGCCGCAATCAAGTCAAGTGTCGCATTTCGTGTCGCTTCGTCCAGATACACTCCTTCCCAAGCGCTCGTCCACTCCAGAGCATAAATTCGCTCGTCTCCTTCCCAAAGAACAGGATCCTAATGCGATCATCCTGTTTTGCAAGCTTCACGGACTTCTCATCAGGCGGCAAATCCTCCCAAAAGAACGTAGTGAGCACGATGTTGTTGAGGTTCGGAAATGGTTTCAAAATCGATACGTCGTCGAGAATATGTGTCTGCTTCGGCAGACGAAAGGATCGCGAAAAATGGGTAAGCGATGGAAAAATGCTTGGGTCGAAGTCAGGGGAAAGGGAGTCGTGGATGCGCAGGTGGGTGATGCGATGACAGATGCGGTGTCTTGCAATAGGAGAGAGGGCTCCATGTTCATCCAGGAATTTGAGACGTATCCAACAATTCAAGCTATTGAAGAGAGTCAACTCTCTGAGGTTCTTGTGCGGGAATCGACGTGTTAAAAAGAAATGAAGCAGAACGATCTTGTCGCAGGCTAGAGAGACGAGATTTGGGCAACTTGCGGCGATGGTTGCACAAAGTTCTAGGGTTCCATTGATCCAGAGATATCGCACGTTGCTGGCGACATCGGGGTTGTCGGTGAGCGTCTGGTAGAATGAACGAGCGGAATTGGCTGTGATGCGAATAGGTAGAAAAGGGAGGCGGTCAAATTTGGTAAGACGGTGAATATGCCGGTTTACGAGTAGGAGAGATCGATAGATCGTTTGGGACTCGCAAGCCTCGGCGATGATGTAGAGAAGAAGTTCTGTCGGGAGACGTCCAAGGTCACCGATTCGTGATGTGGAGATAGAGTATTCCTCCATCAGTAGATCGAATTGTAAAGAGGCGAAGGCTTGAGTTGCCTATAGAACAAGTTCAAGTGGACGATGGGATCAAGTTGAAGGGACCCTGGGTCGCAACAACTTGGCCAAGCAAGTTTTCTCTGGTCCCACGGCCGGCCCGGACATCTTCAACCTTCTTGTTCCATACCAATCCAAATCCACTGCTATACGGACGAGGTATTTAATACAGTGCTTAGTGTAGGATCTGGTGTTAATCTGACGCAGGACTGCCTACCTTCAATCCCGTCGAAATTCAACGTTCAGCAGTCACCCAGAGCCACCCATTCGTGTCAAAGATCTGAAGTGCTCGTTTGCTAGGTGAAAACTTGGAACACTTTGTTCTCATGGGCGAAGCGACTGATTTTGACTGCGGACCTCGATGAATGGTTCTCCCACTCTTATTAACGGTACCCCTCAGCTTCGTCCCACTTGGCGGTGGTTCGCATTACACAACGTTTGGCCTGAAACGCGTCTTTTCTGGACTTCCTAGGACACTTTATTTCTCACTAGACGTCTTCTGCAAGCGAACCGGCACTTCGAAGACTCCGTCTGACCAATTCGCCCTGACATCAACCTGTCCACGACAGTCGCAAAACTCTACCGTCGCATTACCGCTGCTAATTCCCGTTTTCAACGAAAACGTCCTATGATGACCCCCCACCTCTTCGAACTTCAATGATTTACTACGGAAAATTCGGGGTTCTTGCTTTCTTGGACGAACGGGTTGGGCGTTTTCGTCGTCACTGGGCTTAATTCGTTCTGCACTGCAACTCTCACTAGGTATCGTCAAGTTGGCCGACCCTCGAATAATTGGTCTGACTGTGCCAAGATCAATCTCCACCGGGAATCTGGCTACCCCACTAGCGAACAAACATAGAATCGCTTACCGGTCCGTACTCAGGTTATTTATGCTAATGTCGAAAGCGAAGGGTATCTCAGCCTCAGCTTCTCTTCCATTTCTTCCACATTCCCTGAACAGCGCGATGGTCTTTCTCGTTCTCAAAGCCGTGGCGATCTGTGCTTTGTCATGGGTCGTTCATATAATTCTTCAGAGATTTTCTCGTCTGTCTGCATTCAAGAACCTACCAGGGCCGCCTGCAAAATCGCTCTGGAAAGGTCGAGTGGTGTTTCGTACCCGTCTATCCCTTGTGGCTGATCTGGATACCAGGTGTTTTGCCTCAAGTTTTCAACGTCAATGCTTGGAGCTTTCAGAAAGAAATGGGCGAGAAATGTACGCTTCCACGCTTCCTCTGGTTGTCGGCATCTCACCAGCTCCACATGTCGTAGATGGCGGAGTCGTCAAGTTGACAGGGTTCCTGGGTGTACGCCATACTTCTCTCTGTCGCACTATGTGGATTGACGAAACCCTACAGGATGTTCAATTATACGTCTTTGATCCAGTGGCCATGCATCATATCGTGCTCAAGGTAGAAACGCATAATGCTTCTTCTTCAGCTGCTGATAACCTTCTCAAGGATCAAAATTCCTATGAAGAGGTCGAAAGTTTCATGGCGTAAGTCGGACTTGACCTAGATACATCTATACTGACAGCCGACGATAGACTAATTCAAGTGTTGTTCGGAGGCGGCCTTCTGGGCACAAGCGGTATGTAGTTTGCAATGACTGCTTGCTACGTCTTTATTTACCACACGACCGTGGCAGGAGAACAACACAAAAAACAAAGGAAGATGCTGAACCCGGTGTTTTCGATTGCTCATATGCGCGAGATGGGTAAGCTTTCCTCCGAACGAACGATGAAACGAGCATAATATTATGCCCTTTCCTAGTTCCTACATTCTACACTGTCACACACAAGGTATGTCACTTTCTTTATGAGCATATTTTTCTCTCTAAAATTACTGTAGTTACGGGATGCGTTTTTGAAGAAAGTCGAAGGCGGCCCACAGGAGGTCAGTGCATGCTGGAGTCACCCTTGCCCTACGTTTTGCTGACTGGACGCAGGTCGAGATGGTGTCCTGGATGACCAGAACCGCTCTCAAGTTGGTCGGCCAAAGCGGATTCGGTTTCTCGTTTGACCCCTTGACGGAAGACGGCATCACTCACCCTTATAGCGAAGCCGCAAAGCGAGTCGTGTACGTCCGAACCATTCACCCAGAGGCCATCGTTAAACATGCCCTTGCAGACCTCTTGTCTTCAAGATGTTCATCTCTCGAAACTACCTCCTCCCTACACTCATGAAGATCGGAACACCAGAGCTGCGTCGATTTTTCGTCGATCTTCTCCCGTGGAAGCATCTTCACGACATTCGAGACGTTGTGAATGTTCTTCGTAACACTTCAGCGGAGATCCTAGAGAGCAAGGAGAAAGCATTGGCAGCAGGCGATGGCGCCCTCGCTCAGCAAATCGGACAGGGAAAGGATATCCTCAGCATCCTCTGTGGGTCTTGGTATTCTTTTTTGGGCCGAACACAGTACTAACGAGTCGCGACAGTGAAGGCGAATATGTCTGCCTCGCATGGGGACAGGCTCTCCGAAGAAGAGGTATTATCCCAGATAACGTGCGTTATCAACTTCTCTCTCAATCCTTGTTATTCTGACAGGTATGCTGCGCAGTTCCTTGACTTTTGCAGCTATGGATACGACCTCCTCGGCGTTGTCGCGTACTCTGTGGCTTCTGGCCAGTAACCAAGATGTCCAGGACAAGCTGAGGTCTGAACTACGAGAGGCCACAAAACAAGGAGATTTGGCTTATGACGAGCTCTCTCAACTTCCCTATCTTGATGCCATATGCCGAGAAACTCTGCGACTGTGCGTCGCCCGTCCTTCTTTTCATGTTTGCTTGAGGTACTGACTTTCGTTGGTATAGATACCCGCCGGGCCCCACGGTTGGAAGAACGTAAGCCTTATAATCGTACTATCGTTCTTCTGCTCACTCAGGATCCACACAGCACCCTCCAAGACTCCGTTCTCCCTCTTTCCCACCCTATTAGGGGGTTGGATGGTAAAGAGATGCACGAGGTCTTCGTTCCCAAACACACGGAGATAACGCTCAGTATTTTATCTTCGAACACGAATCCGGAGATCTGGGGATCTGATTCCTACGAATGGAAGCCGGAGAGGTGGCTCAGTTCGATGCCGGATACAGTAACTGCGGCGCATATTCCAGGAGTCTACTCGCATCTGTGAGTGCTAGGTATTGGACCCTATTCTGCGTGTCTAACATTCCTTTCAATATGTCAGCATGACTTTCCTTGGCGGTGGAAGATCTTGCATGTAAGGCCGCCTGGAATATTTTGCCCTTCTCCAGCTAATCATCGACTTGTGTGTAGCGGCTTCAAGTTTGCGCAGCTGGAAATGAGTGCGTCCAATCTCTGATAGAGCTCCGCCCCGTTGACTGATGATATCCTCCTAGAGGTTGTATTGTCACTCTTGATACCAACTTTCAAGTTTTCTCCCTCGGGCAAAGAGATAGTCTGGCAAATGACCGAAATCATCACTCCTACTACGGCAGGCAATAAGACGCTGACTCCGGAGTTGCCTCTAATTATCGAAATTGCGGCGTAGTGGGCTCTTGCCGGAATGGTTGGTACCTAAGGAGATATGAAAACTTCAATGGATCACTGATCGTATAACTAGACAGCTATGTTATTTTTTTTCCGATGTTCATATGAATGAGGCTTTGGATCCTCCCATAGTGACCAATAATTCATGATGTTACCTTTCTTGCCGTGGTAGTTGTCCTTGCATTGTTTGTGGGACTCCTACATAGCATATTTCTTCACAAGTAAAGGAGCCTCTTCTCGTGGCCGTCCCTCATGAGTTTTGGCCAAGTGACAGGAGTTCTGTTGGGAGGTGTCCAATATCATTTCAATATGTCGCCGATCTGAGAGGAAGATATAGAAGGTTGCTGTTGTTCGACTCGAACAGTCGCTTCTTGAACTAGACTCGCGACCAGTACCTTCGGTGATGTCCTTCCTTTTCTGATTTATTTGTTTGCTCTTTGTTGTGGGGCAAACATCAAGCTGAGTGTGAAAAGAAAGAACATCACCGAAGGACTGGGAGGAACGGTCGCGGTTCAGTCGAGGTCCCCAAAGTGAGACTCTGACTTAGCAAAATTTCGATGCTGGACCGTCAAAAAACATTCCTCCTCACGATATGTGTAAATGGCTCAGAAGTCGAAAAAAACGTGTTTAGAATATATTTGTAGAGTAAAAATTTTGACAAAAATTTTGGCCTGTAGAGTACTAGGTCATTGCTGAACGGGTGGATTTGTAACAAGTACGTATGAGGGTAGTGGTTGTTCAGCGGCCAGTGCTGCTGCTGCAACAGTACAGGGGCATATGAGGTAAATGGGTATGATAAACGGGGGGGGGGTGGAGATGGCATGGGGGCATGTACAAAAGGGCAGCAGGTTGAGAGATAATGAATGTATGGGTTGCCGCGCACCCACTGGATAAGGCAACACCACTGGTATATGAGCAGGTGTCGAAGGTGGCAGAACGTGAGAATTTGATGTTGAAGGCGCAAAGGTAGCTGTGAACCACGGCTGAGTCTAATGGGGGTTGAACGTTGACGCGTTGACGGGGCATGAAAGACTGGAGCTGTTAGCGGTTGGATAGCAATCAGTGAAGGCGGCAACGCGCGAGAACGTGATCGTGCCGAGATGACAGGTGGTGGGGTGCGGGGGGCAGACGCAGTGGGTGTCGAATTTGAAGTCAACATCTTGAGCTCGAGCGGCAGATAATTGGCTCACTTGCTTTGCTTGAGGTTTTTTTTTGCTCCTCAGTCAAGCTTTACAAATTTACCTGCCCACCGCTCTCGCCTTCCTGACCTCTTCCCCAAGTACTGTGCCTCACCTTCCCCTTTTCCATCGCACCTGCGTCTGTGCCGTTCTCTGGAGTACCTCCACCCTGTCCGTCGATTGAGCACGCGAACATCGACGATGACATCCCCTCAAGCCTCGTTCTCCCTCGCCCGTCTTGCTGCGCCCTTTGGTTTGGCCCTCATAGCCGACACAGGATGCCACCTTGGACATGGACAAAGTTGACGTTCAAGGAGGTGACTCAAGCAAGGAGAACTCATCAGATGATGAGTATGGTCTATGAACGGCGCTGAGGCAGGTCTGGCGAGTGACAGCATTAGATTAACGATGGTAGACTAGGGTAAGAGGGATAGGTGTATGGAATGGCAGTGTGCTGGATGTAATATATGGGCGGAAAGCCCGAAGGCTTTCGTGCCCGGCAGGAGCTCCTGGTCTGTGAAAGAAGCCAAGATGAGCGCGATTCCCAATTGTTAGGAGTCCTGCGACGCATCGAGCGAGTCTCGAGCCCACTCTGCTAGGAGCATGACAGGGGTTGCTTACCTGATTAGTGGTGGCGTAGTGGAGGCATGGTTAGCCTGATAAATTCTTCCTGGCGGACTGGGTCTGCTTGCATGTATGGTGCGAGGATTTGGGCATGCTTCCTGAGGTAGACGAGGAAGGCGTCACTTGCCCACCTTCCCTTTGCTTTCATCACATCGAATGGAATCCCCCTCAGGAGGTACTCGAGTGTTGACCCAATCCTGATCCCATGGCCTTGAAGTGGCTCTAGGCCAGCTGCTCGTGCTGCGGTGGTGAGAATTTGAATGAACTTGTGCTTTGTCAGTGGCTTGTATCCTGAGCCTACTTTGTACGCAAAGAGGTGGCCACCATTTGGCGGTGAGTTGACATCTATGTGATTGTGGAATGCAGTCTCTGGGTCTGTGTCTCCGTTCTGTCTCGACCATGAGACTGTCTCTCCGTTGGTGGGTTCAGACTTTGTGGAGGGGATGAAGAACTCGGTTGTTTCGAAGCCGTTCTGGTCTGTCGTGGTTGTAACGTTTGAGGGTTTGACATGTTTGTTTGCGTCGAAGCTTGTCAGGTTTTTGACCGTGAACTCACCAACTCGGGCAGCTGACCAGAATGTGGTTGTCAAGCAGGCATAAACGGCAGCATGGAGGGGCGTTGAGAGGTCTAGCTGACCGCGAATAGCAACCATGAAATCTTTTGTGTATGGCTGGCGTTTCTTCCTCTTTGACGTGGGTGGGGTTGCTTTTTCTGCGGCCTTGAGCAGTGCCTCCAGTTCAGGGTCGACCATCTTCCATGGGACCCCATGCAGGATGTGCCATGCCCGGATGCCATAGACATAGTTGGCGATGGTGCCACCAGAGAAAGCACCTGAGAGGGTGGCTATGAGAGAGGCGATGAGGAGGGGTGAGGCTGGGGCCCTCTGATCCTCACTAACTCCGTTCTTGTCGCAGAAGGCGTGCCAGGTGAGGAGGCCTGTCCCATAGACTTCCAGAGTCCCATCCGCCCACGCCCCGGCCATTACCTTGAGAATGCGGGCCAGGTCTTCAGCAGAGAGATGGGTGGGCCGGCCCTGGTTGTCAGTGGCAGTACGGACCGTGGTTGGTCTCCAACGTGTAAGCCGTTCTCGAGCAAAGACGTGTGGGCGGAGTGTGGATGGTACTGGTGTGAGGTCAGGAGGGTACGGCGCAGGTTTTCGTGAAGCTCGAGCCCGTGTGTGGTCACGCACTGGCCCTCCATTTGTGCTTCGGTGCTCTGGAGAGAAGCGGTGCCGCTTGGTTGCTGGCTTGGAAGTGGGCGAGGATTTCTTCTTCATGGAGGATCTGGCCCTCTGAGGTGCTTTGGCGTTGGAGGAGTCGTGTGGCTGGGCTGATCCTGGGGGCGGCGAGGGCTGCTTTGCCTTCTCGTGCAAGGCGGAGTTCCGTTGGCGTATGAGGTGTGTCGAAATCGACGACATAGTGCTGGAGGTGATTGGGGATGTTGATGGCAGGGAGGAGGTCTTGTGTCGTGCCATATTCTCCATGAGAAGGGCCATCAGCTGGGTTCTCCTTACTGGGAACATATCTAGTGTGGGCAGTGAGGCTATTTTCTTGCGAGAATGTGTGTACCATACGGAAGATACTGTTTGTTGGCCAGTTCCTGCTGCGACCTTTCCACCATCCTTCCACGACTCCTCGATTGTCTCCATAGACCGCATAGTGGATGCCCGGGTGATGGCATGCATTGCGGAGAGTGATGACCAGGAAGAAGAAACCGACTGCCTCTGCCCAGCCGATGTCTCGGTTGTTTGCCTTCCATCCTGGGAGGAGTCGCCAGGCTCGCCACTTTTGGCCAATCGTGATGCCGATGCCGACTTCAGAGCTTGCATCTGAGTACGTGACG